TATTAAGTGAAGCAGTCATGCAATAAAACTGAAAATAACACTTTTTGAGTTTTATCGTATGATTGCTTCAATTAATTATATACAATTTTTTATTAATTTTTTTACTACATTCTCTGCTTGTAATACAGTTTATCCGATAAGAGCGTGGTTGATCTATATAAAAGAAAAATTTATTTATTAGCATTTAAATAATAATGATTATATTCTATAGAATTAGGGTTAAAATGCAATTACATTAATAATGGGTCCAGTCACCACCGGTGTCTATAATGGATTGGCATCTCCGAGGTATACTTAAATTGCATTTGGAGATTCTTGCGTGTGTGTGTGTGTGTCATATTATCAAACGATAACTGACACTATGGCTAATAAAGCATTATGTACAAAAGTGATACCTATTAGTACAAAAAAGATTAAATACATTATCTTAAATACGAAACGCTACTGCGGTCTGAATGTTAAGATGTTGAACTATTATATATATATATCAATTGGTGCCAATGGTTATCGGATTTTTCACGCAAAAAAAGATTAGAAGTACGTCTTTTACCGACTACGAGTAATCGCAACTATTCTTTTATCGAACAGACTGTAATTAAGATTATTATACATTACGAGAAACCTATTATGATAATTGATACACTTGGAATTAAATACGATATTTTATTTTTGACTAGATGCTTTTAAAGAATATCACGTATTTTATAATCGATCTAATACTGGTTGCACCAATACTTCTTATATACAACAGTTGCGATTAGGTTTTTATCAGTAATTTAATAATTTTTTAATACTTTATCTCGATTTATAATTTATTATATATTTTTTACCTATTTTAAGTTATTGTTAAGAGTTTTATAATCAACTTTTTGTTACGAAACGTCTGTTTTTGTTTGTATGATTTAACTATCTAAAAGTATTCATTTTTAGGCTCATAGCCCTCTTTTATATTCTTATTTTATTTTCATTGAGCCTTTTGATATATTATTTAATTAAACAATTTATTGAAAATGAATAATTTCTATTTTAGAAAGAATTGTGTAATCATAAAAACACATTTGTATCAAACGCACCGCGAGATTTAATGGATGTTTACCTGACTGTGCTAAATTCGAAAAATTGTAGCGATACATTTTCTGGTACTTGAAAGCATACAATTTACAAATATATTATTATTGCCACTAAATAATAATTTTATATAATAAAATAATTTCAGAGTCTCAGTTATTGGCGATCTGTTTAGATCTCTTCATAGCGGGCTCCGAGACAACTTCGAAAGTGCTTAGCTTCGGATTTTTAAATCTAATATTGAATCCGCAGATTCAAAGAAAGGCGCACGAAGAAATAGATAGAGTTACTGAGCGTAATAGATTTCCCATATTGGCTGACAAACCAAAGTAAACATCATTGTAATCACTCTCGCATATCTATAACTGAAGAAGAATTAATCGCAAACAAGAATTATTCGAATATTAATTATATTCTTATTTTTTAGAATGCCATATGTTGAAGCCATTGTGATGGAGTCCTTAAGAGTATTCGTTGGCCGCACTTTGAGCGTCCCACATAGAGCGTTAAAAGATATTTCTATCGTCGGTCATAAGATACCAAAGGTAACATTGTAAAAGATTTAACATTTTATAAATTAATAAAATACAAAAATACGAATGGTTGTTATAAGTAACATAAAAATGTGCATATCGTCATTTGCAGGACACAATGCTCGTTGCAAATTTCAATGGAATACTCATGGACGAAACCTGGGATGATCCAGAAGACTTTCGGCCAGAGAGATTCCTTGATAATAATGGCAATATCATTACGTCAGAAAAATTTTTTCCTTTCGGCATGGGTATGTTTTCTCCTTCTCTATATACAGGGTGTTTCTTCTAACTTGATCATCTAAAATCTAAAATATCTCCTCTTGTTTTTAATGATACAAGAAAATACGAAATTGGTGGAAAGAAAATCGATTTTGTTTTATTTTATACAGTTACTTATTTTAAAAAATTCATTTTACATACATATTTTTTTAAAACAACTATGTGTTTTCTTTCCACCAATTGATTCATCTCATTATTCTGTTCAAAAAAGTATTGAGGTACGATTATAAAAAAATCAATAGTTTACGAGTTATTTAACATTTTATATCAATATGCCAGAATAAAAAGTATAAAATATGTATCTCGTAAACTATTGATTTTTTGATATCATTAACATTTTATGTTAATATGCTAAAATAAAGTATAAAATATATATTTCGTAAACTATTGATTTTTTGATATCACTATCTTAATACTTTTAATTATAAGAATAATTAGAGGAATTATATTATGAAAAAAAAATCATATAATTCCATTTAAAAAAGTGGAAGTGACTTTGAAATCTCAAAAAATTTGACGTTAAGAAAAATTTTCATCATAGTATGTGTCCCTTTGAATCAAATAATTTTCTCCTTTGATATTTTCTCATATCATTAAAAACAATGGAGATTTATAGTCAAGTTAGAGGAAACATCCTGTGTATGTATATATGTATGTTGATGTCTATATATATATGCACACATACATACGTACATGCATACATACATATATACATACACTACTATAAAACTCATATTAGATGGTAAACTTAATTCCTGCAGCTCGCTACTAGAGAGTATTGAAACCCTAGCGAGTTTCAACGAAGTCGTATGTCTTTTGTAGTTTAGATATCGCTAAAAGTGATTCAGATTAGATTTCTCGACGTTAAAGAGATTTTCTAATCGATTGAAAATGAACCGCAATAAGCTGTTTTTTCGACATGTGTTTCTTCACTACTTCGATCTCAAGAAAGAAGCTGAAGCGCATCGCCTATTATCCGAAGTGTATGATGATGAAACTCCATCGAAAAGAGTGTATAATTTGGTTTGAACGCTTCCAAAACAATGTGAAAGGTGAGAGATGTGAGAGGCAAAGAACGTACCGGACAGCCGAAAAAATTTGAGGATGTCGAGCTGCAAGAATTACTCGATGAGAATCCAAGTCAAACGTTTTTAGAGTTGTCGATAACGTTAAATGTTATCCAATGACCATCTCAAAAGGCTTGCATGCCATGAGAAAAATTCATAAGGGAGATGGCTATCACATGAGATGTCAAAAAATAAATCCATTTTGAATCGTTTGTCTATCGCAATTTCTTTATTTGCCAGGCAAAGAAAAAAAGAGTTTTTTGTGGCGCATCGTGACTGACAATGAAAAATGGATTTATTTTGATAATCCCAAACGGAGGAAATTAGGGATGAGCTTCGGCCAACCATCCACTTCAATGCCGAAGAATATTCGCAGACCTAAAATCTTACTCTGCATTTGATGAGACCAGGAGGTGTGCTGTATTACGAGCTATTGCATCCAAATTAAATTATTACAACTGATCGCTACCAACAGTAATTATGCCGATTGAGTAACGAGTTGATGCAAAAAAGATCATCTATAGTCGACAATCGACACAAAGTCATTTTGTTACATGATAACACTCAATCACGTGTTGTGAAAAGCGTGTGTGAAGCACACTGGCTGCATTCAGCAGAATATTTATTTTGCAACTGTTAGAAGTTTTCTTCGTGCTTGGGTTATGCTTTTAGATCAAGAGGAATGATCCAATCTTAGAGAATCATAAAACGATTGCAAAACTGTTGTGTTCTGCTGAACGCAGCCACTTCTACAACTTGAATGGGAAATTCTCCCGAATCCAACGTACTCTCTAGACTTGACACCGTCGAATTATCATCTCTTACAGTCGATGCAACGCGCACTTACGAACACACACTTCTCCAGTTATGAAGAAGTCTAAAAATGGATGGATGAATGAATCACCTCGAAAGACACTGCGTTCTACCGTCGTGGGATTATCCTGTTGCCGGAGAGATGAGAAAAAATGGTAGAAAATGAAGGAAATTATTTTGATTAAGGTATTCATTCATCTTCCCTTTGAAACAAATCAATTTTAGAGACGAAAAAACGGTAGGAATTAAGTTTATCCCAATATATAAAACCTAAGCACAATCATAAGCTTAATTCCAAATGTGAATAATTTACAACTTACAGGTAGACACCATTGCATGGGAGAAACATTAGCTAGAAACAACATTTTCATCATAATAGCCACGCTGCTACATGCATTCAACTTCTCGGTGATACCTGGTGAGCCACGACCAACCACGCAAGACTTTGTAGATGGTGCCACGGCTGGTCCTAAACCGTACAGAGCGTTAGTTTCTTTGAGAATGTAAACTAGACATTTGATCGAAGCATTATTTTTAATGAATCTCAAACTTGCCATTTTAAATAATTATTAACAATAAGAATATTCTTTTTTTAATCTTTCGAGTTAATCTCTGTATACAGACTGTAAGATAAAATATATATATTATTAATTTTGTGATATACATATAACATTTGTCACAAAAATATATTTTTATTATTATTGTTATATATAGGAGTATACAGACAGACATATGTACATATATAAAGAAAACTACACGAAATAAATAACTGTTCATACATTAGAAGAATATAGTCTTCGTATCACTATTTGTTCATCGAACAAACATCTGAATCGATATCCTCGCGTCGCATGTTTGACAATAATATACAATGCGAATTGAAGGATCATATTCATCTGAATGTGAACCATAAGCTTTATATGCCAAGGATTCACACGTGATTGAATTAGTAGCGAACATCGAGAATAGAATCCGACTGAAACTTTTACTGAAACTGAAAACGAACACTTATTACTTGTGTCAGTTTCGACTGAAACCATATAACTCTTCATAAATATTAATTTTAATATATGTAATTATTGTTTCAATAATTAAATTATAATATTTATATAAAGAAGTACTTATGAAGAAGAAGTACTTCTTTGGCCAAAATTGACACACAATCGAAATTTTGATGTTCGATTTCGGCCGAAATTTAATTATTATTTCAATAAATTATGATATTTATGAAGAAAAAATATATAATATAAAGGTATATTTATACATATGGCCTTTATAGGATTCCTATTTTTTAATTTTGGTTTCGGCTGAAATTGACATGTAGCCGAGTGTTTCGGTTGTCAACAAAAGTTTTGATCGGATTCTAATCGAGAGCGAGTCGAGACGCGCGAACAACAGGTACAAGTCAGTTAAATTCCGAACTAAAATACAATCTTACAAAAAGCAAGAAACACTTACGCTATATAGTTCTAAACTCAACAGTGTGCCATTGTATACACTTGTAAAACGGATATTCGCAAAAGTGTGAATATCAGAAGCAAATTTATTACATTACTACCTGATTTTTGCACTTTAACAAGCGCCATGTGTACTAAAAAAAAAGCTCGACCATTAAAATGCTCGACCTAAAAGTCGGCTTTGATTATATTAAACATATTCATTAAAACATATTTTCTCTTTTGTAATGGACGGCATTGAATTAACTGATCCATTTAAATACATATGACAGCAAAATAAAAAAATATATAAATTATTAAGAAACATTTATAAAATAATCAGTCGCTTATGCTAACCATGCAAGTGGTACCGACAGATCACTTGAGAATCTTCATCCTTTAATCAGCTAGGCTGATCTTCTATTATATGAATCTAAGCAAAAAATTATATTTTTAGAGCACAGGAGAGATTTAATATTATAATTTTGAATCTATTATAAAGATTTTTTTTACCTCAGATAGAATGGCCCAGTTTTCACTTTCACTATGTATAGTTAAACGAAGTACCGAAACCTTACCCAGTCCTCGATCTACGGTCCCTTCGGCAACACCAAGTACATCAAACTTACCTGTGTCATACACAATATATTCTTTAACATTTTCTCGAATTATTAAATTATGAGATACATGTATAGAATTTTTTATTACCTATAATAACATAACCATCTTCCGTCACATCGTTGCTATTTCTATCTAATAATGGAGACATTTCGACTAATACTTCCACGGTCGTATTGTAAAATCTATCAGAAGGATGTTCAGGATTTCCGCTCCTGAATAAGTACCTACACACAAAATAATGAAATGATTTTTCAAAATAAAATGTTCAATTGTACTACTTGCAACTTACTTTTTTATAAAAATAGGATGCGAAAATTTAAACTTTAAGTGGTCTCCCGGTTGAGGTAGCAAGCCCCAAAAGAATGACTCGCCCTTGTATGCTTTTTGCAATGTATACTGTTTGTAAGGCTTGATTTGAGTCTCCACAGTTGCCTCAGGATTCTCATGAGCGTAAAATAGTGTTATCTTGCCAAATTGTTTGTCCTGTAAACATAATTTAGACATTAGTTTATATTGTCATAATTGTATCTCACTTTTTTAAGAATAAATATATCTGAAATTACTTTAAGTTTCTGCACTTTTCCTTTTAAGGAGGAATGCGTCCCTATGTGTTGAAAAAGAGAAGGTTTGTAATGTACCCATAATTCTGCTTTAGCCATTTTACAATGTTTCTGCCGTAACAAAAATTTCTTTTTAAAAAATTAATATTCTCTATTAAATGTGTAATTATTATTATTTATACTAACGTGGTCCATGTCAAGACTGCAGACTTTTGTCGATATCAAATGGTCCAATAACCAATCAACAGGCTTATCATTATAGAACATTAAAAAGAATTGAATCAACCAAGGAAGTTCCACACATTTGAACAGTTTTCCTACAATTTCCAATAGAACTTAAAATATTTCTTTAATGTCTATATTATCTGTGCAATATACAACAATGCCATACCGATAAAACCGAGCTGACAGAAATCGAGAACGAACCAATTTTCCTTTGTACCTATCTTTTGTAACGCAAAAGATTTCATGGTAGTTATAAAATTCTTCTTAGCTAAAATATCATCTTCTAATTGTACATAAAATGTGCCCTTAGTTTGGGCATAGGACATAAGGAAAGCAAAATCGAGATTCTGCTTGGATCGCCAAATGACACGTTGATGATCGTCGCCGAGAGTGTCGCGTAATTTTGATAAATTAGGATAATAGGATAATGATGGTGATATCACATCGATCACGCCAGCTTCGCATTCGTTCGGAAATCTAAAATAAAAAGTTCTGTTATAAAAGAAATCCGTATTGATATAGACACAAGAATGAATAAGATAAATATGAATTCGTGAACTTACTGAACTTCAATTTGTTTCGCCACATATGTCACGTAATCAATGTCTGTCTGTAAAAAAAAAATTATATATATATGGAATAGAAAGATTTCAAAAATTAGATAAAAAATAAAAAATTCAAATGTATTTGCTATTTTTCATTTCAAGCAGTAATTTTTTAAATATAAGGATAATTTAACGATTTTCAACAATTACAGAATCGCATACTGATAATTAATAACTTACAAACAGACAAGATTTATAATTGATCAATAGCTTTACACCTTGATATCTCAAAAATTATTTGTTGAAATAACAAATTTTAACTTTGTTTTTGGAATATTTTTGCTAGTATTTTGATTTGCAAATTTTGGGACCCTATATATAATATAGTTTTATTAATTCATCAGTTTAATGTCCCAATCACGAATAATTTTATGCTTGTTAGTAATTAGCGATTCTACTTACTTCGGCTACTAAAACGATGATGAGTGTGTCAGCGATCTCTGCGGTATTCATACGATCCAGCAGATTTTTCAAAGTCGCCATAAGATAAGATTGAACCTCGCGTTTTACCGTCGGTACTCCCAACACCATGCTTACTCCTGATCTACCTTTGCTCTGTACAAATGCAGGACGCAGACTATTCGGATCATTAAGAAAATGTGGTAGAAAATTGTAGATCGAAGGCAGTTTGATATTGGTGACGTTCGAAGTGCCGTTGTTAATGAGCAACTGCAGATCTGGTAGAATGTGATTGCTCTCAATCAGCTGTAGCAACTGATGCGACAGCAAATTTATTTCTTCCTGACTGCTAATGTATTTGGCATGCAAATGCTCCAGCTTGGCCTGCAACTCAGCGATGCTGTTCTGTAGTACGGCTTCCTCACGCATGTCTGACGGCGTCAGCAGATTCAGAATCACGCATGGAACTAAAACTAGCACCAGCACGATTACACATCGCTTCCGCACTGGAGTTAGCGTTGTAAAATGCGGTGTCATCTTCTCCTTTTCTGCTTCTACATTCTACATGATGATATCCATTGGTAGAAAATAAAAATGAATATTATCTAGAAGCAACAGTCGAAACATAAGTTATAACTTGTTACATAAAGATTCAATATGCTTATCTCAACTTATTTCAAAGATATAGAAGATTCTTTTAATCTTGCAATTATTTTTTGATAATTATCAAAATTAATATGTATGTTTATACTGATAATTAATGGTGAGTCACCAGATAGACAAGATTTAAAAACTGATCAATAGCTGTAAACCTTGACATTTCAAAAATATTATTATATATATATTTGCATGTATTAATTTATTTTTAATTAAAACATATAGTCACACAAACATTCTGCTATTTTAATAACTTAACTATAACTCTAATGTTTTCTTCAATATAGCACTTAATCCCAAAATAATTTCGCTACATAGACAGTAATAATAACTAATAATCAAATTGAGTAGTACAGAATTATGTCCATGTAGTTGGAAAATAATTAAATATTGAAAGAAGGATCACAAACGTCGATTAGTTTTATAAAAAAATTAAAAATATGTTTACTATCTTCAAATATACACTTAAATATATAGCTACAATGTAACTGCTGTTAGTAACATAAAATAATTATTTTAAAGAGTGCTAAAAAGATACTACTACTATAATGAACTGGCCGATAAAATTACTCAGTGAACATTAACATACATAATTTTTTACATTTAGCCTTCTTCGAGGTCGCAGTCGACGAATGCTTGTCGCGACAACATTGCCTTGTCGTCGCCGTGAAACTTCGTCCTGTTTGTCTTAATTAAGGATCTTATAGCAGCACGCAACGTATAATGCTCTGATAATGCACGTTTTTGGGTTTCCTTACGGAAAAGAAGAAACGTCTATCGTGCGCACACCTGTCTCTTGTCTCCAACTCCAACATAACCCGTTCCGCCCGTTCGGACATTAGCTCGTTTTGAGCCTACCGTATATAGGAATATACTGGGTGCTCAAGACATGCTCAAAGTGCAATATTAATAAAAGATAAAAAACGTCATTTTTAGTTATAGCACTTTTTTTCTTTCGAAAGAAAGTTGGGAAGTCCAAGGAGCTAACAGGAAATTTGAAGAAATTAAAAAAAAACTGAAAATTATGAGTTTTGAAAGGAAAGCTTAAATTCGAAAGCTTAATAAACGATACTAAATTGATCTTTAATACATTTACATCTTCGAAAATTATGCACCGATTCAAAAACAATATCACGTATAATTTTTTTTTATGGGAAGCGTCCATACAACATTTACAAAAACATTCGTTATTCTCTTTATTCATTTATTCGAAAAGATGGTTCCAAGAAAATAAGACAAAATTAATTAATAACTCGGGCCATATGTTCATTGTCCTGTATAAATATTGAAACAATGTTTTTTTTTATACGAATATATATAGATATATTTGTTATACCTCTCTCTTCTTTATGTATAAACTGGTATAAACCAAACCGGCGCTTGATCAAAATGCGTGCATACAAACCTCCTACGCATGAGAGAAGTCATGTGTAAACAAAGCATAAGCAATGAGCAACAAACGAATCGATCAATCATACTAGAGAACCTCGGAATCCTCAATGGAAATATTCACGAGATTGGAAATTGTCCGCCATATTCAGAACTATAAGGGGTTCCGCACAATAAAAGGAACAGAAAACAGAGAACAAAGAATAAGAATTTCAATCTATCAGAAATAATATATTGTGTAGAATATACAGTTTCTGATAGGTTGAAATTCTTATTTTCTGTTCTCTGTTCCTTTTATTGTGCGGAGCCCTTTATACTCGTATTCATAGGAATATTCCAAGCGGACACTGGCCTAGTTTCCACCGAAGATTTAATTCGGATCAGAATTAAGTAAGAACCAACCAACTACAGTCGTGCATTCTACTGTCGTTCGACTGTAACAGGGGAATACTCGACTGTGGTTGGTTGGAATACTGGACTGTGGTTCTTACATTCTGATCCGGATTAAACCCTAGGTGGAAACTAGACCACTGTCTAGGTTGTAACTTCTAGACGGTTAGGCGCCAAGTGGCTAAGATATGTTATTTTATATTGTTCGGAACGACTACACCGTCTCGAACTTAAGCGTTACCGTCTACACTCCACTGTCCACATGGGTTATAATTTATTTATATAAAATAGAACACTATGTATAATAGAAACATTGCACGAGTAACATTTATTTTTTAATTTGATTTTAAATTTTATGCACTTTATTATATGGAATAGTGAATAAACGCATGCGCAAGAGGTCACAGAGCAAGAAGAAAACATACTCATAGTGCTACATCATTCTAGTACGAGCTCTTGTGCTGGGCTTTCTCATTTGCGGAGACTGCGCTTGCGTGCTGCGTATTACGCATTGCATCATATTGTGTATTTTTCTGTGATGAACGCACCATAGTACGTCTATCAAAGCTAAAAAATAACAGATTAGCTCACTTTATTCATCAATCTTTTTCCTCAGAGGGACATTCCCCCTCTGGGGTGATACAATTAAAAGCGGCTAAGCCGCGCGCTAAAAAATATATATATACATTGCGGGGGATAAAAGCCCCCCCTCCTCTCCGCAATTAAGACTAAAAGGCTGAGGGGCAAGCCCCCCCAGCCTGCGCAAAAAAAATATCACATATTGATCTCCTCAGCACACGGGGAGATATATCATCAAAGTATTTGGGCTCCTCCGGGATATCACAGCAGTATCGTCAAAGAATAAAAGTCTCGGAGGAGCGCGCGCGGCAATAAATTATATGAAATAAATTAAAATAGGTAAATCGCGCACATACACATTCGAATAAAATACAATATGGTTTAACATGGCATTCATACTCCAACAGTCAGATCTCACAGAGAAATAAATAGTTAAAATATATAAAAAGCTAAAAGAAATAGAGTACAAAAGTACTTAAAAAGAAAAAGAAAGAAAAAAAAAAGAAGAAAAGGAGAATAGAAATGAGATAAAAATAACATAGCTAAAAGAAAATAAAATGATACAAAAGTATACACGGAAATAAATATATATAATTAAAACTAGCAGAGAGGGGCCCGTCCAACAGTCATGCTTAAAATAAAAATTAAATAAATAAAAAAAAGAAAAATATAAGAGTAAAAAAACAAAAATATATATCACATGGGCGAGTAGCGCCCAGACCACAACAAGAGAAACAAATAAAATAATTGGACATTGGATCACTCTCTCCTGCTTGGTTTAAAAAGGAGGGGAGGCCAAGACAAAGACATAATAAATTACGCCACTCATACCATTCGAGCCGCGACGCGCCGCGTCCTGTGCAATTCTTTCAGTGAGCCAGCGTCGAACTGCTTTCGGCGGTGTCACGAGATGATCCCCAGAGGAACGGGAAGGAGCCAGGTACATGCTCCACGTATATGTCTCGTGACCAGCGAATGATATTCGAGACAATGAGGCGCCGCATACTGATTGCCAACCCGCAGCAGTCTATTAAAGCCAAAAAATAATACTACACTAAGTTTTGTCCGCAATTAGGAATACATGGTAGAGCGCTCACCCTCAGCTAAGGAGAAGCTGAGGGTGAGCGCTCCTATCGGGAGTATCCCGGAGCGCTCCTAAGAGGCCTATCTATGCTTAGAGCCTTCATTAAATATAGTAGCCTTGTATTTGGCTTCGCGTTCTCGAAATAAGAAGTTATTCAAAATTATGCGATTCGTTTTTGTCTGGGCTATCGGATTTCCACTCCGATTAACGCTCTCTTAGCAGAAGCCAAAGAACCTTTCCAGTTCCGCTTCCAATTTTTTGCCGCTAAATTCTTTATCAAAATTCTTTCTGTCGCTGATCGTCCAAAGTCGAATCTTTATTTAGACTAGCAGAGTATGAGGTCAGAGGTGAAGGTATTGGCCACGAACCAATCGCAAAGCACAGCCAATGCGATGGTGGATTGTTCATAACGCTGCCAGTTACGAAATGCGAAAACAAAATCTCTATTTCACGACTAATGCCCGTATTCATAGTCAGACCTTGTACTTAAGGCTTCCTTAAATTTATCTTTAGATGCTCAGTAGCCAATGAAATAATTCGTAGAGTATCTAAAGATAAATTTAAGGAAGCCTTAAATATAAGTCCTGACTATGAATACGAGTATAAGGAGCTTCGCACAATAAAAGGAACAACAAAGAATAAGAATTCCAACCTATCAGAAACTGTGTATTATATGATTTTTGATAGGTTGAAATTCTTATTCTCTGTTCTCTGTTCCTTTTATTGTGCGAAGTCCCTAAAGGTGCTATCTTACACAAATTACAATTTTAACTTTCGTTTATATGCGTGCTTCCGCGCAACGGGGCAGAGCGATACTTTTTTTCTGCTACATTCGTTCATTTCATGCAAAAACACGTCGAATGACCCCAAAGGTCATTGTAATAGTTGTAGATAAAAATTGTAGGACTTCAAATTGTAGGAAATTGATCGATTCTAATCGAATTTTCTCTTTATATTTGATTACAATTGGTCTTTTTACAATTGTCTACGATTTCTATGCAGACAAGCCTAAAGACTACCAATTTTCTGAAAATCAAATTCGATTTTATTCCTTCGTGTTAGTCGAATAATATTTTATTAGTAATATTTTTTTAGATATTTTATCCAAATATGTCTTACTGTATGGTTTCTAATTAAATAAATCGAAATATGATGGAAAAAGTTATAGTCTATTTGCACTGCGTAAGAGAAAATATATATATACATATATATATATATTGACTAATGTAAATATAAAATAATATTTATTAGAGTCTCTATATGTATTACATGTAAATGCAGGACCTACAACAGAAGTCATAGCGATGGTAGGATCTTAAGTCGTAGAAAATTGACCAATCAGTCGATTATTCTTTTCATATTTGATTATGATTGGTTAATTTTTCATGACTTAAGACCCACATAATGTGTAGAATGATAATAGAAGCTTGTTTTTTTTGGTTTTAACTTCTTGCACGGTTCATCTTTTCTCTTTTTCTCTGCAACATGGAAAGAAAAGGAAGAAAAATAAACGTGCAAGAAATTCAGCTAAAAAGAACAAATCATATGTATCATTTGTATTGTAAAACACATTTCTGACCGAGACCTCTAATATTTACATTTACAATTATATAAGTTTCAATATTTGTAGCTTCAAATGCTCCAAATTTGGAGTTTGGCTTAATAGGAAAATACTTACCAAAGAGCACAGAGTGTATGAATGCTTCAATGAAGACGATATCAACAGGGAATTCGTGCATAAATTAACGGATGGCACAATATTTTGGCTTCCAAGAAAAAAGCCAATGCTAAAAATGGAGCTATTCTCTATATTTTCCTTGAGCCTTCAATTCAACAGAAAAAGGTTTCAAAGAAAAAGACAAATATTGCATCTGTTAGGGAAAGGATCGTGTTGTCCTTATTGCGGAACGCTGTTTTTTCTTCGTGAGACTTGTCTCGTGCCCTGTGACTTGTCGGCGATCTATGTTCTGTGACCATGCCCAATGTGATTCGGCAGCGCGTAATAAATGAGGCAGTTTACTTTGTGAAAATACTTTAATGTATCGTAAATACATTACAACTCGCGTCGTATAATATCGAAAAACCGGCTTGCGCACCGATCACGCACGTGAACACGAAAGGATGATCGCACACACACAACGGCAAAATGGCGAGTAACACAACTGATTCGCATGCAGGCAGCATAGTCGCGCGCATGCCCTCCCCTTCGGTGGGCCTTACCAGAGCCACGAAAATGCTGTAGTCACGTCGGTAAGCCGACGTGCTGGTATTAGATCGGTTCAACTTACAATATATTAACAAGCGCTAATAGCATTCAAAGATAAAGGCATTATAATTCTGTTCACAATTTCGACGAGAAATTTCTTAATGAAAATAATTACAATAATAATTACAATATAATATAAATGATAAATATGATATCATTACCTTCGGAATATTGGATTGTGTGCTTCCTATGGTAATCATTTTTAACGAATGAACTGAGGATTTAAAGGAAACACGTGTTTATCTTAAATTAGAAAATAATATGTCATTTACTGTAAATATCTTATAGAATTATTACATTCAATATTGTTAACATAATATTAAATAACATAATATTGAAATACCATATAATGTCTTTTATTGTATATTATGCATCAAATGAAGTAACATAACTTTTATTGACATTTATTAATTGTGAACAGGTATATTGCAAAACGAAAATTGATAATAGATGGTCCGAACTATCAGCAATATGTCAGATCTGTTAAAATTATTGCAACTGTTTCCAAATTCTTACCATGTAATGCAAATGACAAAGACAGGTAAATGCGAATAGTTTATTTATAAATGAGTTTCAATATGTACAAAAAAAGAGACAATTAATAACAATAAAACTGTGAACTATGTCATTAACTATCATTAAAAATAATTTTTAAAGCACAAGATTGTAAAGAGTATGTCTTTCTTAAAGACAACCACACAAAAGATCCACAACAGAAAACTTGTCTTGCGTCCCAAAAATTTTTAAATAATATCAATAGGAAGAAAAAAAGAAGAAGCAAAGAATGAAGAATATTTCTTCCTCTCTGTGTCAGCAATATAAGAATGTAAACCGTCAAAATAATCGGCTTCAGTTAAAGACATGTGTTCATGCATATAGCAAATAAAAATATTATTAAAATTAAGTTTTACATGTTGCAAAAGTATGATTCTTTTATTGCAGAATAAAAGATTGAAGAGCATGATCGAAACCACGGAAAAAGAAGAAGACCAAACTCGAAAATAAAAATAGACTCGAAACACGGTATCGACAAACCCGTGGAAAATCGGGATAATGCAATTTTAGTGCCGTCGCAGAAAAAGTTGGAAGTATATCACATGATAACGCATACAGAATACACATTTTATTTTTAATATAGAAATTCCAATTAAATTTCATTTTATTTGATTAAAATAGTAAATGCATCAATATTTATTGAAAAATACATACATTTATGCATTATCATAAATTATCGTTAAATTATAGTTTTTTTCCTTATCAACATCAAAAAACTTTGAAAAAAACTTTAAAAACAAATAAAACGGGACTTGAACGACAATTTTTTTTCCCAGAATATATTCTGCATGAAAAAATACACAAATTTACAGAATTACAGAAAAATGGGAGGAAAAATATTTATCAAATCTTCTAAATTGACAGTTTTCTCCGACAGGTGCTCAAATTTGTTCTTTCATATAGCTTTTCCAACACTGTGTTTCGCCCACTTTTTTCGGGATCGGTCGTTTGAGTTTGGTCTCTTTATTTTTAATCCATGATCGAAATTAGAAGAAGAGAGAACAAAATGCATGAACGTCAAAAAGAATGCAGTGCTTAACGCCATTGCAAAATTGCCTGAAAAGGAACAGTCAGCTGCAAAAGCAAATTTTGCAGCAATGAATTGCCAATCAAGCAATGTAATGAAATATACGACATAGATGTTTGAATGCTTACTTTTAAGAATAAAAAGTAAGAAAGCCTACACCTATTTGCGAAAACATAAAATGCTTACATTACCTTCTGTACAAACTTTAAGTAGACATTCGAAAATCGTTGAAGTAACATAGGGATTTCAGGTATTCAAAGCTGTGAAACTTAAAACTATAAGTATGCCATATGCTGAAAACATTCATGATATGTAATTATAGCAAATAATACGATATATAAAGTACATGATAAATTATGTTTATAAATCTACTTTTATACTGTTGACAAGATGAAGGTCTTCTGGATAAGTTTTAATTCTGTAAATTGATAATATACCGCTGTAATTGCTTTCTACAGTCAACGAAAGTATCACATATACAGGAAACAGTTTTAAACACTTCTGAGTTGCAATAAATATATATATATATATCTCCGATATCATACGTCTTCATTTATTCGTACAGATTATCTTAAAGTCATTTGTTATTAATTGTCGCTAATTATTAAGTTATTTCGCAGATTATTATAACTTAATAGTATCGCGATGATAAGCTCACCATATCCGGAAAAAGGGACAAGCAATCGGTTGCAAATCGCAATAACATCATTCTGCTGTTCACGTACGTATTTTTCTAAAGCAATAGAATAACACGGATATAACTAAATTCTGAATAATTGTGAAATTAAAGCCCTAGATCTCTAAAAATCCTAGATCAAACTCGATTAATTATTGGGTTATCTAAAAAGTATCCGCGGTTTTTTGTCACTAGATGGTGTTGATGGTCAACACTATATATTGTATTTTAGATCCAATATATTGTACAATATATTCTATTGGTTCCTACACAGTGGACGCGGAACGCTTGTCGCGCGGCAAAATGAGACGCGGTAATGAACACATTAGGAGCTGTAAGCTTATTGGCTACCGTATCACATTTTGCCGCGCGGCAAGCATTTTCGCGTCCAGTGTGCAGAAGTCATAACAGTAAGAAATGCGGTAAGATAGATAGGTAGAGGCATTTTTTTTTTCTTCGAGGACACTATTTTGAGCGGAAAAATCTAACTCGCGAAAATTAAGAAATATCCCGAGATTGTGTAAGGATCGTTCGACAGAGTCGATTGCTCGCTCAATGAATTTGTCGATGGAAAAGATAACAATGTCATCAGCAAATTGTAATAACTCCGAGGACGGATGTAATGCCTCGTTACGTAAGTAAATATTAAAGATTAAGAGCCAAACCCTGAGGAGAGCCCTTAAAGAAGACGCGAGACTCGGTGAGAGAGCCCTGGGAGAGAAATTGGATAGTGCGAGAAGAGATGAGTTTAAAATAAAAGAGAACATAAGGGAATATTCATGGATGCCAAGTCTTGCAGGAGAATGTATATATAAATTTAAACATTTTAATTGCATCTAATGCATATATTTGTGCTCTGCATATAAGAATATTTCTATCAATATTAGATGTATAAAATTATAAATTCGCACATGTTGTACATCAAATAACACAAATGAACATTTAAAAGAAAACAATTATTTATTAAATATTAATTAAATGTTGAAGCAGTAATGTAATAAAATAATTTTTTACAATTCAACTAAGGCATTTAAATATTTAAAATTATCAATTTCACTTATAGTTTATAATTTGCACCTAAATTCAGGAAAATTATATTTTTAATTTATGTTATATATCGTATAATAAGAAATATTTACAAAAAAAAATATGCACGCGTAAAGTCAGTTTACCAAAGAAGGTATTAAAGGAAAAAAGATATGGAAAAGCGATATGTAATACACAATATAAAAATAAGAGAATTGGAAAGAGGAAGACCAATTAAAAAGGGCATTATTTCTATTGTTTTGTACATTTATTTTGTATATCATAGGCACAGTTGCATACATAATTAGACATTGTGACCTAGAGAAGGTTAAAAACCATTCAATCTTATATATATCGTATATTTTTTTTATTCGCAGAAATTAAAAGGTTCATATAAATGATACGCAATAAGTAATAATATTTACGAAAACAAAGTCTTACAAAATAAAACTGAAACTATTCTAAAAAGTCGATTACAAACTTTAGTTGCTAACTAATACTTTAAAGACTTCTATATATGCAGTATAGAAATAAAATGTAATTAAAAATAAAATTTCATTACAAAAAAACTTAAATCTCTAGAATCTTTAGGACACCTTAAGTGCACGCGCGACACAACAGTACACACATATATGTATACATATAGTATTTAAGTGATATCTTAACATACAATCGTAATTAAACCCTTGACAGATTCTTTCATACTTCGCAACACGAATATTCGTGAACCAAGATAACGATCCAAAAAATCGAAACATTTATCCTTGAATTGATTCTTGACGTTAAGTTCTACTTTTGCTGCGTCTCTCAAGTAGTATAAGTTTAGCAGTTCCTTAAATGTACGACAGTATACTAAAGCTTTGTCAAACAATCTTATTGCTTCCTCTATGTTACCCCTAAATTAAAAAAATGGATTCAAAATATTTTCATTAAAAATAATTTTCTTTATATAAGTCATGTATGTGACTACAATAAGTTAATTAAAAAAATTTTAAGTACAATAATTATGAGAAACGGTTGGAAACATACCTTTTTATTTCGACGAATCCTAACGCTTCATATGCAGACCTGCACTTTTCATCCAATTCTATCGCTTTTTTAAGATATTCCACAGCTTTATCAGAATAATCGTTCCAATCAAATTGCAAAAAGGCCCTCTGCAGATAAACCAAAGACATAGATGTGTCATCCGAATGTTTCTTTATTATTTTAATAAAATAATTATGAGCTTTTTGGTACTGTTGAGTTTCGGACATCATCTAAAAATAATTGAAAATTTTAACAATGAATCAAAATGTAAATAATTTATCTCCGTCTATCTTTTTTTTATTCCAATTATTTTTTTTTAATTATAAGTAGTTTTATATACCGTACGATAATATTGATAACAACATATACATTCAGGAAGATTTGTATATTTTTCCAAAACTTTCTCGAAAGCTCTCACAGCCGCTTCAACTAATCTTACATCTTTATTTAACATCGCAATACAATAATCTGTATAGCATTTTTGTATGCATGCCATGCTAAAGTTTGGATCATATTCAAGAGCCTTTTCAAAATCGTACTTAGCTTTGTTCAGTTCGCCCATGTGCATATATACCTGAAATTACGAAATGTTACATTATTTTATATGTACATTTATATGCATGCGACAAAAATATGCTCAATGTTAATGTGCTTAATACCCGTCCTCTGCGATAGTAAATATCGCTGTAGTGCGGATTTATACTAATGGCTAATTCGAAATTCATGAAGGCCATGTCTAGATTCATGAACTCTAGATGTATGTCCGCTGTCTTTAACAAGGCGTTTATCTTTACATCATCGGGTGCATATTCGATGTTCAGTATACATTCTAAGTCTTTGAATGCAGGCTCGTATTTGCCCAAAAGTGTATAAAATGTAGCTCGTAATAATAACACCTCGAGTTTAGTTGAAGGTAATGAATTAAATTCCGGACTTTCAATAATTTCCGTACACAACGGTATTACGTCATCATATTTCGTATCTTTTAACGCTTGTAGTGGCTTTTTGAAAAATCTAATAACACATTAGAAAGTAAATAATCACATACACAAAAACAATTTTCTGCCTATACCTACTCTGGAATATTTTCTGGACATCGAAGTTTAGAAAACACTGGATCTGTAGAATAAGATGTAATATAACATTCGATGGAAGGCTTATTTGGCATAAATAACTTTTTGCTTGCCCAATTTTCATAAGCATGTTGTTTCACTAAAAATAATTTTCATTGCAAATAATTAAATTTCTGTTATGTTTCAAATTTTCTTCTAATTTGCTGTGAATAATTTTTTACTTAATACAAAGTGTTTTTAATATGTAACTTACCAAGTTTTTTCAAGATTATTTCTATCTTAACAGGGGAAATAGGATTAGAGAACTCTTCGTAAATACACGCGGTAGTCATATCTTTCAAGGCTGCTTCCAAATCCCCCATTTGCTCCAATACACGTGCCCGACGTAGCAAAGCTTTAATATATTTTGGATTTAGTTCCAACGCTTTTGTACAATCTGCCTTCACGGAACTATATTTTTTCTGTAAGTTGCAACAATTATACACCCATATCACCAACAACTTCGACAATCAATTGAAATCAAATTTTTATATACTCGTATGTTAAGCTTATTATGACTATTATAAATATCTTAATACCAATTGCTCATACGCAGCTGCTCTATTTTGATAAAAAATCGCGAGTTCCTTATTCTCCTTAGGACAAATGTTGATTGCTTTAGTATATTCAGCAATGGCTTCATTATATTTTTTCATTTTGAAATATATATTTCCTTCGTTCTACTTCTGCGCTCTTTGTAAAGAAGTCTAAAACAAAAGAATTTACTTGCATTTGTCATTAAAATACTATCTTTTTGATGTTTACGATAAGTTTATAGACATGTATGACACTATTACGGAAGACGCTTCAAGTTATTTTATTGAAGTTCTAAGAAATGAATTTCTATATTATGAATTTTATGATCTCAAATTCAGCAGTGTTTGCAGACAATATATTATTTACTAAAAATTATCGCTCGTGAGAACGATAATTAAGAGATATTAATTAATGATATTAATTAAGAGATATAATGATAATTAAGAAATAATAAAGAGATATACATACAGTTATCGCTATCAATGACGAAATATATACTAAGAGGAAAATGATAAATCTATTACTCTGATATTTTTGAAATCCAATAAGCAGACGCTCATAAGAGATACCATGAGAATTATGAATTACGGATAAATGTATTTTTGCAATGGAGGATGCTTTCATATATGACTCTTAACCTCCGATTCGGCTGCGAAAGAAGACACTTTGGATGGCCTGTCGCTGTCTATGGGGATACGTTTGTCGGATTCTTCTGCATTTTGTACATCAATGAATTGAGAATATGATTGAAGAAAATGGATAACATGTCCAAATTGATTTTGTATATTAAGATATGTCTTTATAGCATCTACACTGTATATGTATAACAGTTCTTTAAATATGCGACAAAATACTAAAGCCTTATCAGATAATTTTATTGCTTCCTCTATGTTTCCTCTGAAAGAAAAAAATGGATTCAAAATGACTTCATTAAAACATCATCATATTCTTTATGCAAATCAAACATAATTGCAGATAGTTCCTTTTGAAAATTACAATAATTGTAAGAAACAATTAGACTGAAAACATACCGTCGAATTTCGATTATTCTTAACATTTCAATACATCTAAGCTTGCCGCCATTAGAGCATGTCTCCAATTTTAATACTTTGTTCAAGTATTCCACAGTGTTATCAAGATTACAGTTCCACAATAGCAGATAAACAATAGCATAATCTGGATCTTTCTCTATTGCTTTAACAAAATAAGTATCAGCCTTTTGATACTGTTCAGTTTTAGACATTATCTATGATTAAAAATTTTACCAATAAATAAAAACATGTACAACATAATACTAATACTATATCACTTTTATTTATTTGTAATTTTAATTTTTTTTCAAAATTATAGATAATTATACCTACCTGAGCATACAAAACATAACAACATATGCATTCAGGAGGATTCGAGTACCTTTCGATATCGAAAGCTTTTTCAACATCTCTTACAGTCATTTCGGCTAAATTTAAATCTCCGTTCAATACTGCAAAATGATAATTTACATACCATTTCTGCATATGTGCTGCGCTGAAATTTGGATTCAATTCTACGGCCTTTTCAAAATCGCGTTTAGCTTTGTCTAGCATTTGAATGCCCAAATACGCCTTAAATAACAAAATAACATTGTTACACTGCTTCATAATACATGGAAACTACATGTGTGCGATAAGAAAAATATGCTCAATGTTTAAGTGCGTAATATACCTGTCCTCTATGATAATAGATATCGCTACAACTTGGATTTATCATAATGGCTAAGTTAAAGTCCTTAAAAACCAAATATGAAAACCCGATTTCTCTATGTAGATTTGCTCTTTTTATCAAGGCGTTTACCCTTATATCATCAAATGCATCTTCGCTAGATAAAATAATTTCAAAATCATCAATCGCAGCATCATAATTGCTCCGAAGTAAGTTGAATGTAGCTCGTAATAACACCACCTCTAGTTTGGAGGAAGGTAATTTATCAAATTCAGGGTTTTCAATGATTTCTGTGCACAGCGGTATTATATTATGATACTCCTTGTTTTTTAACGCTTGTAATGGTTTCTTGAAAAATCTAATAAACAAAAATTAAAAATTAAACATCACAATTCCACTAACTTTTGTCTATACTTACTCTGGAATGTTTTCTGGATGTTCAAGTCTAGAAAGTACTGGATCTTTAGAGAAAGCTCTAATATAATATATTTCGATGGCATGCGTAGTTAGCATAAAAAAGTTTTCATGTGACATGTTTTCCTGAACTTGGTCCACTAAAAATAATTTTGATTATACGTCATTAAATTTCTTTGTTATATTTCGATTCTTATTCTACTTTACTATGAATACTATTTTATTTAATACTAACCAGTAACCTTACCTTTGTGTCACTCGCCGATTTTATTGAAACTTAGTACATTTGTAGAATAGTTCAAAATACTGAACATACTGGATATTTTTTTATATTGGCAAAAATGCAATTTTAAGGATAAAAATGATGTATTTGTTGTATTTATAAATCGATAATTAATTCGTTGTACTTAAGCTCAAATATTAGAGTTATTTTTTAGTATTATGCCCAATTTCTTTACTTCTAGATAAGTTGCGGATAACTTTATCCAGGAGACATCTCCATTGTATTCTGGGAGATATCTCTTGGAAGAAATGAATTATCTAGAGGTGCAGAAGAAATTGGACATTAAAGAACAAAAGATTCTTATATTGCTGAAAGAAAATTCAATATTGGAATTACAGAAATCAAAATGGCGGATCCAATTCTTTTTTAAATTTTTAGTTCTATCTCAAAATCTTTTTATCTTTACCACATCTCCAAAGCTCGGTTGCACCAACGTCATGTTGATTTTAAGCGAGCTTAAAATTCTCTCTATTTCTCCTCTTTTGATTTTAAAACGAAATAAATAGTTTTAAGTCTCACTTAAAGTCAAAGTAACGGTGGTGCAACCGGGCTTAAGACACAAAAAAAACTCTAATACCTGAGTTTAAGTGCAAAGAATTAATTACTTCTTTACAAATACAAGAGGTCATTTTTATCTTTAAAACTGTACCTTTGATGATATAAAAAAATATTTTATGTCCAATATTTTTTACTACTCTACAAATCTACTAAATTTCTATAAAATTGACGAGTGACACAAAAGTTTACTTGTATAAGCGCTTTTAATATATATCTCACCAAGCTTTTCTAAGATTATTTCTGCCTTTAAAAGAGAAGCTTGATCGGAAAAGTTTTTGTGAATACAGGCAGTAGTCATATCTTTCAAGGCTGCTTCCAAATCTCCCGTTTGCTCCAATATACGTGCTCGACGTAGCAAAGCTTTAATATATTTTGGATTTAGTTCTAACGCTTTTGTACAATCTGTCTTCACGGAACTATATTTTTTCTGTAAATTGCAACAATTGTACACCCATATCACCAACAACTTTGACAATCAACTGAAATCAAATTTTCATGTTAAGTTTATTATGAATATTACAAACATCTTATTACCAATTGCTCATATGCAGCCGCTCTATTTTGATAAAATGTCGCCAGTTCATCCTTATTTTCTTTGGGACAAATGTCGATTGCTTTAGTATATTGAACAATGGCTTCATTATATTTTTTAGTTTTGAAATATATATTTCCTTCGTTCTTATATTTTTGCGCTCTTTGTAAAGGAGTCTAAAACAAAAGAATTTACTTGCATTTGTTATTAAAGTACTACCTTTTTGATGTTTGATAATAAGTTTATAGACATATATAATGTCATTATGGAAAACGCTCCAAGTTTTCATTGAAATTCTAAGAGATAAATCTATATTATGCATTTCAAAATCTCATCAAGTTCAGCAGTGTTTGCCGATAATATATTATTTACTGAAGATTGTCATTCGTGATAATGATATTTTGAAATATTGATGATATATAGCTATCAATTAGCAAATAAATTAAAAAAAGAAAATTATAAATCTGTCATTTTGATATTTTTAGGATCCAAGAAACGGATGTTCATAATCGTAAGATACAAAAAGATTTATCAAAAATTCAAAATTCTCTCGGATTGTGAATTTCGAATAAATGTGTTTTTGCAGTCAATGGAAAACGTTTCTATATAAGGCACACTGTCTTTACTTCTGACTCGGCTGTAGGAGAAAGCACTTCGGATGGCTCATCGCTGTCAATTGGGATATGTTTATCGGATTCCCCCGCATTTTGTATACCGATTAATCGAGAGTATGACCGTAGGAAACGAATGATAAGTGCAAATCGATTCTTTACAAAATTGTATGTAAAGTCAACTGTATATGTACTGTACACGTATAGCAGTTCCTCGAATGTATGACAGAATGCAAAAGCCTTATCAGATAAATTTAATGCTTCCTCTATGTTTCCCCTGAAAGAAAAAATATTCAAAATATTTTCATTAAAACATTACCAGATTTTTTATGTAAATCAAACATATAATTGCAGACGGTTCCTTTAAAAAATTGCAACGTACAATAATTGTAAGAAATTATATTGAAAACATACTGTTCTATTTCAATCAATTTTAATATTTCAATACACGTAATCTTCCCTGTAACAGAGCCTGTATCCAATTTTAATGCTTCGTTCAAATATTTCTCGATGTTAATAAGATTACAGTTCCACAAATGCAGATAAACAATAGCGTAATCCGGATCTTTTTCTACTGCTTTAACAAAATAAGTATCAGCTTTTTGATACTGTTGAGTTTCGAACATTATCTATAAAGATTAAAAATTTCACTAATGAATCAAAATGTGTACGACATAATACTAATATTTTATCATTTTCATTTTTTTCATAATTTTAATTTTTTTTTTCAAAATTATAAGTAATTATACATACCTGAGCATATAAAACATAACAACATGCACATTCAAAAGAATTTGAGTATTTATCTATAGCTTTCTCAATGTCTCTCATAGTAATTTTGAATAAACATATATTTCCATTCAACAATGCAAAACGATAATTTGTGTGCCATTTTTGCATGTGTGCCATGTTGAAGTTTGGGTTATATTCAACGGCTTTTTCAAAATCGCGCTTAGCTTTGCCTAGTTGTTGCATTTTCTTATGTGCCTTAAATGATAAAATAAAATAATATTGTTACCTTGTTTCATAATACATAATGAATCTATATGTGCAACAAGAAAATATGGTCAATGTTTAAGTTAGTATACCAATCCTCTATGATAGTAGATATCGCTGCAACTTGGATTTATGATAAGGGCTAATTCAAAGTCCTTGAAAGCCATTTCTAGAGTACACATTTTCCCAATTTTCAGGTATACATTTGCTCTTTTAATCAAGGCATTTATCCTTATGTCATCACATACATCTTCGCTAGACAAAATAACTTCAAGATCGTGGATTGCAGCATTGTAATAGCGCCAAATGAAGTAAAATGTAGCCCGTAATAACAGCACCTCTAATTTAGAGGGAGGTAATGTATCAAATTTGGGACTTTCAATAATTTCTGAACACAGCGATATTATATTATGATACTCCCTATCTTTTAACGCTTGTAATGGTTTCTTGAAAAATCTAATAAACAAAAATTAAAAATTAAACATCACAATTCCACTAACTTTTCTCTATACTTACTCTGGAATGTTTTCTGGATGTTCAAGTCTAAAAAGTACTGGATCTTTAGAGAAAGCTCTAATATAATATATTTCGATAACATGCGTGGTTTGCATAAATATTTTGCTTGTTATGTTCGAAAAGTGCTGTTTCACTAAAAATAATTTTGTTATTTTTCAATTCTTTGTTTATCGTGAATAGTATTTAATATTAAATGCTTTTAATGTATAACTCACCAAGCTTTGCCAAGATTATTTGTGCCTTTAAAAGGAAAGCATGATTAGAAAAGTTTTCGTGAATGCAGGCAGTAGTGATATCCTTCAAAGCTGTTTCCAAATCTCCTAGTTGCTCCAAAATAAATGCCCGACGTAGTAGAGCTTTCGTGTATTTTGGATTCAATTCTAATGCTTTTGTACAATCTGCCTTCGCACTATTATATCTTTTCTGCAAATTGCAATTACAATTGCATATAGACATTTATACCACATTAATTTCATTAATAAATTTAAATAAATTTTCATGTTATGCTTCTATTAGCGGTATCATCAATTTTATTACCAATTGCTCATACGCAGCCGCTCTGTTTTGATAAAAAATCGCGAGATCATCCACGTTCTCCTTTGGACAAATGTTAATTGCTTTATTATATTCAGCAATGGCTTTATTATATTTTCTCATTGTAAAACGCACATTTCCTGCATTCTTATATTTCTGTGCTTTCTGTAAAAGAATCTATAACGAAAGTTTGCTTGTATTACAAGAGTGCTATCTCTTATTTCTTTTGCAATTTATGATAAGTTTATAGTATGTCTATGATAATTTAATAATATCTCTATAGGATAGCTACTAAGTAAAAGATTTTAAGGTATGATTTCTTACATAAATTCAAAACGGAAATTGATTATAAATGATTCTATATCGAAAACCAAATGATTATATATCGAAAAGGTTTAGTTTTAAAGATATATATGATGTTAGAATTGAAGGAAAAATTTCGTTTTTTCCACATATTACGAAAACAACTCGAGTTACATATCTTAAACATATGCAAAGTTTCTCAAGTCAAAATAACGAAAAGAATTTTTAAAATTGTGGAAAAAACGAATTTTTTCTTCAACTTTGATATTATATTTCTAAACTAAACAGTTTCGGATGTATAATATATAGTTTATATAAAGTAAAGTATAGTATAGATCATATAAAGTTTTCGTCTTGAATTTATGTGAGGAATTTTTCCTTAAAATCTGTTAGAATACTTAGTAGCCACCCTGTGTAATGCCATTATGGAACAAATTTCGGACTATTTTACTGAAGTTCTAAGATTCGAGAGACAAATATAAAGAAGCTACGTTTCGTAGATTGTCTCCGTGTCCAGATCCATTATAAAATTTGACAAAAAATAACTTTTTTCGAAGCCTGGAACGAGATAAGTCAATTCCTGTAGTTTCATAAACTTTGAATATGAATTCGGTTTCCAAATTGCTCCATGTCACAATTTTGAGAAATTTGCAGTTAAAGTTGCAAAGAAGAGCTATTTTCGAGTACTTTATCATATTATAGCTGCAATATGTAACATGTTGGAAAAGTTTTATTGCGGTCAAAATAAAATACATTCTTAGGATTTTTAGCCCTCAAAAGGAATTTGTAGTGTCGGTTATTAATATTCATGATTAAAATATAAAATTTGTTGTCAAAATGTCTGTCAATATAGTCATTAACAATTTACAAAAAAAAAACTTTCTATTATGTTTGTTCAAATTTAAGGATTTCTTAGATCATTAAATCCGATATCAATTGCTAAATTCAAAATCATGTATTCAATATGACGGATGCCAAAACTAATGCTGAAACTAATCGTATTGTGAAAATTTATATGTATAGAAGTTTTCATAATTTTAAATTTGTCAATTTTAATATCAGGTTTTAACTCCCCCACCCCTCCTCCAAAATCCTTAAATTCAAATAAAAATAATTAAAAACTATTTGATAAATCATCAATGATTCAATTCACAGTTTTTATTTCACAACAAACCCTTACGAACTATTAATGAAACTATTTGATTATTCAGTCGTAATTTTTTTGCAAACTATTGAAAAGAGCTACTATTAGATTATTGGGAAACCTATTCAAATAATTATTGCAAAAATTAATTAATTCAATTGCTGCTAAAATAAATTATATATTAATAAAATAAATATATGATATAAAATAAATTATATTAGTGTTTAGCATCATACACGACAAAATTATGACAAAAAAAAAGATTTTCTTTTGAAATTGGGATTTAATTTCACGATGCTCTCCAGCTGTCACTCATTCAAAGCTGTACCTCATCTATATTTACTTGACCTCTGCGAAAAGTATGGAAATTTCCTCTTCGTTGACCCACGAATCCTGAATATATAGATGTATAACTATGACATATCTGATCAATGTATATCGTCAAAAAATTCATATATATTTAAGATATACGTGAATATTTTATTTCATAAACGAATTTCAGATAATCTGAATCCGATTAGAAAATCAATAATCACTCAGTCAAAAACTATTGAGGAATGATTATTTTAAATAATTTGATTAGGGAATCAATAATCATTCTTTGTCAAAAGCCATTGGGAAATGATTATTGCACATAATCCGACTAGTGGAATCAATAATAATCACTTCGTCAACAACTATTGAGGAGTGATTATTGTAAACCCGATTATTGGATAATACAGGGTGGGCCATCTATTGGTACGTTTTTGAATTTCGTCGTATGGCAACACCGAACGAGCTACAGACCCGAAATTTTGACAGTTTATTAGTCATACCGTCCGCGGCACGAAACAACATGTTTTCTCTTGAAGAGCGTTTTGAAATTTTAAAAACTTATTTTCAAAGTCAGTGCTGTGTCGCCGAAACTGTACGAATTTTGAAAAGAAATATGGGTCGTGATAGAGCACCCACCGAAGGAGCTATACGCAAATTGGTGAGGAAAGTTCGTGAGAAAGGGATGTTAGTGGATGACATTATATTACGACTGTTTTGAGTGAAATTGGCGCCGAGGTAGTCCAAAATGTCATTAATAATTGGGGTGACCGAATGGCATACTGTAAGGCCAGTAGAGGGAGCCACATGAACGAAATCGTTTTTCATTCTTGACGCGGATACTTTTAGCTTCACAACAAAAAAAAAATTAATAAAAAATATCAATGTATGCTCATTTGATCGCATTTTTAAAAACGTACCAATAGATGGCCCACCCTGTAAATATTCACTCACTATTAAAGAATGAATAATCACTATTAATATCCAATAGTGATTATTGATTTTCCGTAAGAGAATTCCGTATTTTATCATAAATATCTCATAACCGACACTAAATTTTGAGAGCTACAAATTCCCCTTGGAGGAAGAAAAATCCTAGAACGTATTTTATTTTAATCATAATAAAAATTCAACATCTCACATATCATTATAATATATAAATATACGAAATACTTCAAAATAAGTAACTCTTTTTTAATTTTAACTAGCAATTTCTCATAATTATAACGTGATAGAGCAATTTGGAAACCAGAATCATATTCAGCGTCCAAAAAAACTAACGGAAATACCCAGTGCCATTTGGATTTTTTTGTTTAACAGTGTTATTAGAATGTCAACGTTTTGTAAATATTGCATGTCACTTCATCAGAGCAAGGAGTCTGATACTGAAATGAATTGCAATGTTTACGAAGCATTTTTTGCATTTTAACAATGGATCTGTCACACAGACAATCTGCGAAACATAGTTTCCATAAATACTCATGGAAGCGTTAAAAGCATAAAACAAATATATACTATAAAAATCACGATTTTTAAAAAGTTTAGGAAAATCCATTATGATATGTAAATTATGCATTTTATAATCTCATTATTACAATACGTATTTAGCAATGCTTGCAGACATTATCTATTGAAACTTATCTCTTATGATAACGGCATCTAAACATATCATTGACACAATATGTTTTACGATGATATAGAGAAAGTAAATAAATTCATGACTCTGATGCTTTTTAAAATCTAAAAGGTTGCATCAAATGCAACATTGAGAAAATAATGTTGTTTTATTTCGAATAAATGGATTTTCACAATCTAGTCGGTATTTCCAGATAAAGCAAATGATCTCAACCTCCATCTCAGCTACAGGAGAAGATACTTTAGAAGGTGGTTGATCATTACGCTTCCTTTTAGTAAATCTCCTTTTTCTTTTATGCGTCATCTAAAAATACATTGAAACAAATTTTCTGTGTTTACTTAGCGTTTGATTTCTTTTTGCAATACAAAGGATGAAAAACGATAAACACACTTTCATTCTCATTCTCACTCTCACTCTCACTCTCACTTTCTCTTTCTCTCTCTCTCTCTCTCTCTCTCTCTCTCTCTCTCTCTAGAATATTAATAATAATTTAATTATCATCATAGAATTATACATAAATTTTAATATATTATTAATAATTTTTCTGTTTTTCTTAATATAATCCCATAGATTTTTAACTTTTATCAATACTGCAGAAACTTAATATTGATTAAATCAATATTAATTGAATTCCAGGCTGATTTTTAAATGTGTTAAAGAATTAATAATCATATATTCTTTTTTCCTTATGTCTTCTATTTTAAGTAGATTTAGATAAAAATAATCTATCAAAACTTTTCAAGATTTTGAACATGTTTCTTTCAATCATAATTTCACAAAATGAAGTACATATCAGTAACAGACTCCATACAATGATTTAAGAATCTGTACTATCGCATGCATCACATACGACTCCACAATTCATAAAATAATTAAAATTCAGCTTTAAGGATGAATGGATTTAAAAATTTAAAACAGAGTAATCTTTTGATCTGTATGATCAAAAGAAGGAATTTTTAATGTTGAAAAGAGATACAAATTTTCTGGACAATGCAAATTAAAAAATTAAAAAATTAATGTAACTGTAGTCTCCTTTCAGCTGTCGATAATCTGATTCCTTTTGACATCATTATTAATAATTATGTTAAAGTATATATATGTGTTTCAATGGAATACTAGAATGACTCAGGACAAAAAGATGGCAAAGATGTTTTTTGAATGTAATGGTGCGTTTAATTAATTAGTCCAAAGTTGCAGCAAGCAATAATTGTGGATATAGAAGATGAATCTAGATAATGTGCATCCGTGAAAATAATCATGCAAGAATATAGGAAAAGTGAAATATTTGTTTTTGCAGGAAAGACAGAGTGTAACACAATGGATCATTATGAAAAGCCTAGTATCGCATCACATCTTCTATCTTATTTTTCTTCTTATGCCCCAGTAATGAGTTTACTATTGCATTTTGTTATTTGTAACTTGTCGATTCATAAGAGGTCTAATTTCCACCGAATCATCTAATGTTGCATAAAATTAAATTTATATGTCAAAGACATATTAACTGTGCTTTTTTCATTCCAGCTTTTATCCAATAAATCTTTATTTTTAATAGAAACAAAATACTATAAATTTGATTTGCACTGAAGTGAAATCGAATTAGCGAGAATTTCGGTGAAAACTATACCAGATTACGATGAACGGCAAGTAACGCTTTCCGCACATTATGCACTTATTTTTTTATTTAATACAATCTGCCTTCCGAGAAAAAAATCTTTGGAAATTAGTACAACTAGATTTCGTCAATATTTTAAGTCTGTCAAAAATTTTAGATGATGTAATATTTGGATTAAAAAGAGCACGTCCGGGATTGAATCAAGTAATCTTTCGAAATTTGCGTGCAATTATGCACGAATATACAGAGTTGGCCATATTCGACGGAAAGATGTTTTTTTTTCAATCATGGGAAAAAAACACATTTTTTGCTGTTCATTTTAAAAATCATTTAATAGGGTTCAAGGTCTTTCCGTCGAATATGGCCAACCCTGTACAATACCTTGTTGAATACGTTGAATCTATCAGGCAAATTTCCCTTTTCCGTGAAAATTATTCACGCGTGAAGATACAAGACTTTCACGGTACGATTATAAAGTACTCAGGTCAATCAATCAAATGCGTCGTCTCTACTCATTCTTCTCCGTATTAACTAATCAATATAATGACAAAGGCAGCTCGTATCAAATATAGTTTCCTAGAAGCCCCTTCTTCCTTCTCTTCTTCGACACGTAGAAAAATTCTTTCGATTAATGCAAGTGGGGATTTCCCTGCAGCCATTGTAGTACAATGGAAACATGGGTTGCGTTCGAAAATATCACCCGAGTGTCCCCGTGTATCGTTTTAACCTGCAACCTGATGTCCATGATCTTGAACAGAAAAAGAATTAATAAATCACAATTAATCACATGATCAATGCAATTATTCAATTCTTTCTTCATCCGAGATCTCGGACCGATTTCTACCATTGTGGACACGAGGGTGCGCTCTCTGGGATGCGGAACTGCGGAACGTTCGTGATTGGTCATGGCTTTATTCCGCCGATTCCGTTCCGCTAAAATATATTGTCCTATGTCCCATTGAGCGGAAATTGCGAAATGCGCAATTAGCTTTGATCAATTGAAAGAATCTTCCCGTAGATCATTTAGTGATGCAGTAGATATAAGAGACAATTTTCTCCGTTTAACAAGGTTAGTTTTTATAAATGTATGTATGTACACGTACCGGCAGAAATAGTGTCCCTTCGGCGCGCGGCGCTACACATTCGTACCAAATAGAGATCCTTTAATCAGAGACTGGTCATCAGGATTTCGTCAAATTTCTTCGAGTGAGAAAGGAATATAGGCCACCTCACATCTCCACCAATAGCGGTGTGTATGCATAATGTATACACATAAAATGATTTTTCACAATTTAACTGAGATATTTAAATATTAAAAAAGATTATCGATCTCGACTTTGAATTTATAATTTGCACCAAAAATTCCCACCACCAGAAGAAAATTATATTTTTAATTTCACATATCGTATAACACAATATTTACAAAAAAAGATACATGCACGCGTAAAGTCTCCAACAGTTTTCCAAGGAAGATACTGAAGAGAAGCGATATGTAATACAGAATAAAGAAAAAAAATTTTTCTTTATTCTGTATTACATATGATAATAAGAAAAGAAGGCAGCCACTTAAAAAGATAGGATAATTAAGATTATTTCTATTTGTATTTTTTATATTTTTATTATTTTGCACATTATAGACGCAGTTTCGTTACATAATTAGACATTGTGACCCAGGAAAAACCAAAAAACATTCTTATACTATAACTTAATCATGTATATTTTTTTCAGTCATTAAAAATTAAAAGATATTAAAAGATTTTTGAATGATATGCAATAAATTTTAATATTTGCGCAAACATACAATTTTCTAAAGTACAACTCAAACAGTTTTAAAAAGTCGATTATAAACTTCAGTTTCTAACTTCAGTTGTAATATTAATAAACTTAAATATTAATAAATTAACTTATGTTTCGCACAAGAATCAGTGTCGACTTTTAAGGCTTTTAAAGGCTTTTTATTAATAATTGATTTACTTCTATTGCATAAGCAGTATAGAAATAAAATATAGTTAAAAATAAAATTTCATTACAAAAAAACTTAAACCTTTAATATAAAATAATAATGCATACACACACATATACTCCTCTCTCTCTCTCTCTCTCTCTTTCTCTCTCTCTCTCTCTCTCTCTCTCTCTCTCTCATCTCTCCCTCCCTCCCCCTCCCTCCTTCTTCCAACCTCTTCAATCTTTAGGACACTTTGAGTGAGTGAGTGCGCGCGCAAATAGATGTATACATACATATATACATATCGTGTTAAAAGTGCTTTCTTAACATAAAATCATAACTAAATCCTTGATGGTTTCTTCCGTACTTCACAACACGTACATCTGAATCAAGACAACGACTGAAAAAAATCAGATTGCTTCTCCGAATTGATTCTTGACATTAAGTATTACTTTTGCTGCGTCTCTCGAGTAATATAGGCTTAGCAATTCCTTCAATGTACGACAGTATACTAAAACTTTGTCAAACAATCTTATTGCTTCTTCTATGTTTCCCCTAAATTAAAAAAAATGGATTCAGAATATTTTCACCAAAACATCTTCGAATTCAGAATATTTTCATTAAAAACAACTTTCTTTATATAAGTCATGTATGTGACTACAATAAGTTAATTCAAAAAATTTTAAGTACAATAATTATGAGAAACGGTTGGAAACATACCTTTTTATTTCGACGAATCCTAACGCTTCATATGCAGACCTGCACTTTTCATCCAATTCTATCGCTTTTTTAAGATATTCCACAGCTTTATCAGAATAATCGTTCCAATCAAATTGCAAAAAGGCCCTCTGCAGATAAACCAAAGACATAGATGTGTCATCCGAATGTTTCTTTATTATTTTAATAAAATAATTATGAGCTTTTTGGTACTGTTGAGTTTCGGACATCATCTAAAAATAATTGAAAATTTTAACAATGAATCAAAATGTAAATAATTTATCTCCGTCTATCTTTTTTTTATTCCAATTATTTTTTTTTAATTATAAGTAGTTTTATATACCGTACGATAATATTGATAACAACATATACATTCAGGAAGATTTGTATATTTTTCCAAAACTTTCTCGAAAGCTCTCACAGCCGCTTCAACTAATCTTACATCTTTATTTAACATCGCAATACAATAATCTGTATAGCATTTTTGTATGCATGCCATGCTAAAGTTTGGATCATATTCAAGAGCCTTTTCAAAATCGTACTTAGCTTTGTTCAGTTCGCCCATGTGCATATATACCTGAAATTACGAAATGTTACATTATTTTATATGTACATTTATATGCATGCGACAAAAATATGCTCAATGTTAATGTGCTTAATACCCGTCCTCTGCGATAGTAAATATCGCTGTAGTGCGGATTTATACTAATGGCTAATTCGAAATTCATGAAGGCCATGTCTAGATTCATGAACTCTAGATGTATGTCCGCTGTCTTTAACAAGGCGTTTATCTTTACATCATCGGGTGCATATTCGATGTTCAGTATACATTCTAAGTCTTTGAATGCAGGCTCGTATTTGCCCAAAAGTGTATAAAATGTAGCTCGTAATAATAACACCTCGAGTTTAGTTGAAGGTAATGAATTAAATTCCGGACTTTCAATAATTTCCGTACACAACGGTATTACGTCATCATATTTCGTATCTTTTAACGCTTGTAGTGGCTTTTTGAAAAATCTAATAACACATTAGAAAGTAAATAATCACATACACAAAAACAATTTTCTGCCTATACCTACTCTGGAATATTTTCTGGACATCGAAGTTTAGAAAACACTGGATCTGTAGAATAAGATGTAATATAACATTCGATGGAAGGCTTATTTGGCATAAATAACTTTTTGCTTGCCCAATTTTCATAAGCATGTTGTTTCACTAAAAATAATTTTCATTGCAAATAATTAAATTTCTGTTATGTTTCAAATTTTCTTCTAATTTGCTGTGAATAATTTTTTACTTAATACAAAGTGTTTTTAATATGTAACTTACCAAGTTTTTTCAAGATTATTTCTATCTTAACAGGGGAAATAGGATTAGAGAACTCTTCATAAATATACGCGGTAGTCATATCTTTCAAGGCTGCTTCCAAATCCCCCATTTGCTCCAATACACGTGCCCGACGTAGCAAAGCTTTAATATATTTTGGATTTAGTTCCAACGCTTTTGTACAATCTGCCTTCACGGAACTATATTTTTTCTGTAAATTGCAACAATTGTACACCCATATCACCAACAACTTCGATCAATTGAACTTGACAATCAATTGAAATCGAATTTTCATGTTAAACTTATTATGGCTATTACAAATCTTAATACCAATTGCTCATACGCAGCTGCTCTATTTTGATAAAAAATCGCGAGTTCATCCTTATTCTCCTTGGGACAAATGTCGATTGCTTTAGTATATTCAGCAATGGCTTCATTATATTTTTTCGTTTTGAAATAGACATTTCCTTCATTCTTATACTTTAGTGCTCTTTGTATAGGAGTCTAAAACAAAAGAATTTACTTGCATTTGTCATTAAAATACTACTTTTTTGATGTTGATAAATTTATAGGCATATTTAAAACAAGTATATACTCTAAAAGTCTTTATCGATTAGGAAAATCCATTATCGTATGTAAAAATCCATTATCGCATGCATTGTAATAATCTCGTTATTACAAAGTATTCAACAATACTTGCAGCCATTATCTATGACACTTGTCTCATGATAACGGCATCTAAACATATCAATGACACAATATGTTTACTAACGATACAGGGAAAGCAAATAAATTCATAACTCTGATGATTAAGATCTAAAAGGCAGCATCAAATGCAACATTGAGAAAAATATTCTTTTTCATTTTGAATAAATGGATTTTCACAATCTAATCGGCACTTTCAGAATAGACAAATGATATCAACCTCTGTCTCAGCCACTAGAGAAAACACTTTGGATGGCTGATCACTATGCTTCCTTCCGTTAGATCTACTTTTTCTTCTACGCGTCATCTAAAAATGCATTGAAACAAATTTTCTGTTCACTTAGCATTTAATTTCCTTTTGCAATACAAAGGATGAAAAGTGATCATGAATATTAATAACTTAATAATTTATTTATTACTGTGTGTGTGTGTGTGTAGAATTACACATAAATTTTAATATCTTATTAATAATTTTCCTGTTTTTTCTTATTTTGATCCTATAGATTTTTAATAATTACTTTTATCATTACTGCAGAAACTTAATATTAAATCAATCATGATTAAATCAATATTAACTGAATTCCAGGCTGATTTTTAAATGTGTTAAAGAATTAATAATCATATATTCTTTTTTCCTTATATCTTCTATTTTAAGTAGATTTAGATAAAAATCTATCAAAACTTTTCAAGATTTTGAACATGTTTCTTTCAATCATAATTTCACAAATTGAAGTACATATCAGTAACAGACTCCATACAATGATTTAAGAATCTGTACTATCGCATGCAACACATACGACTCTACAATTCATAAAATAATTAAAATTTACAGTTTTAAAGATGAATGGATTTAAAAATTTAAAACAGAGTAATCTTTTGATTTGTATGATCAAAAAAAGGAACTTTTAATGTTGAAAAGAGATACAAATTTTCTGGATAATGCAAATAAAAAAATTAAAAAATTAATGCAACTATAATCACTCCTTTCAGCTGTCGATAATCTGATTCCTTTTTACATCATTATTAATAAGTATATTAAATATATGTGTTTCAATGAAATATTAGAATGATTCATGATGAAAAGATGGCATAAACAAAAATGTTTTTTAAATGTGATGATGTGTTTAATTAATTAGTCCAAAGTTGCAGCAAACAATAACTGGACATAGAAGATGAACCTTGAAGATAATGTGCATCCTTGAAAATAATCATGCAAGAATGTAGAAAAAGCGAAATATTTAATTTTTTCAGAACATACATAGGCCCGTATTCAGAACATGTTTTTTTTATAAAAGCGCGCTTTTATCTCTAAAATTCTATAGTATGCGTAATGTAAATTATAGCATATTAGCGCGCTAACATTGTTGTAAGCGTATTCTGAATACAGGCCACACAATGGATCATTATGAAAAGTCTAGCATCGCATCTTCTATCTTATTTTTCTTCTTATACCCCAGTAATGGGTTTACTATTGCATTTTGCTATTTATAACTTGTCGATTCATAAGAGATCTAATTTCCATCGAATCATCTAATGTTGCATAAAATTAAATTTATATGTCAAAAACATATTTAACTGTGCTTTTTTCATTCCAGCTTTTATCCAATAAATCTTTATTTTTAATAGAAACAAAATACTATAAATTTGATTTGCACTGAAGTGGAATCGAATTAGCGAGAATTTCGGTGAAAACTATACCAGATTACGATGAACGGCAAGTAACACTTTCCGTACATTATGCACTTATTTAATATAATTTTTATTTAATACAATCTGCCTTCCGAGAAAAAAATCTTTGGAAATTAATACGACCAGATTTCGTCAATGTTTCAAGTCTGTCAAAAATTTTAGATGATGCAATATTTGGATTAAAGAGAGCACGTCCGGGGTTGAATCAAGTAGTCTTTCGAAATTTGCGCGCAATTGTGCACGAATATGCATTACCTTGATATTGCTTGATATCTGTATGTTTAGTCTGTCGCGCACAAATTCCTCTTTTCCGTGAAAATTGTTTACGCGTGAAGATTCACTACTCTTACGATGCGATTATACTCAGGCCAATTACTCGAATGACATGCGAGTCGTCTCTACTCATTCTTCTGCGTCGTAATCTTATTATCTGATCAGTATATAATGACAAAGAAAAGCTCATATAAAATATAGCGATGTTCCCGGAAGCCCCTTCTTTCCCTTTTTCGCTAAGCAGAAAAATTCTTTCGATTAATATCAAGTGTGGAATTCCCGACAGCCATTGTAGTATAACGCAGTACAATGGAAACAATGAGCAAGTTTTTTAATTCATCGATTGATCAATCGCACTGTGCGCAAATGTAATTTTGTTTCATAAAAGCTGCATTTGCGCATAATGTAATTGATCAATCGATAAATTAAGAAATTTACCTAATATTTATATCACCGACCAAGTACTATAATATTAATGATCGCCTGGGCAAATTTTCGTCCATACAAAAAGAGCTCGGAAATAATTGAACGCTGACATTATCGACAATAATGATATAATTGATATAATCTTTAGTAGCACAGAACATTGGCTATTTATTGGCTAAGATTAGCTAAATATTGGTTATATTGGGGATACATTGGCCAATATTTCCCAATGTAATACCAATATTGTTAATATAATACGTACCAATATCGCATGTCAATCATTACCTAATATTGCCTTTATTTGTTATTTATTTATTATTTATTTATTTATTTGTCCTTATTATTGGATATATATTGTGGATAGATTGTTTATAACATATATGTACAATTAAGTAACATATTTATCAATCGAAGAAATGGTGTAGCATATAACGCAAAAGAGTTCAGAGATCTCAGGTTCGAGTCCCGTAGATAAGTGAATTTTCACTCAATTATGTCTAATATTGATTATACATTATATTGATTATACATTGATTTATACATTATATTGATTATACATTATTTCCTAATATTAGCGAAATATTGAAAAACAATGTATAGCCAATGTAAAACGTTAGGTAAAAATTGAATCCCCAATATTTGCCCAATATTGTTGAACCAATATTGGCTAAATATGATTAAGCGTCAACAATAGCTTTACAATATTGGATCAATATTAGTTATTCAATGTTTTAATATTGGCTGTACATTCATTTCCCAATATTGCGCCAATAATTTGTGCTACTAGGGGGAAATTAACATAAATATTTGGCTAATATTTATTGAAATTTTGGAATTAATAAATATTAGCCATTTTTGAATTCATGATTTTTTGTTACATAAATGCCCCATAAATAAATATGTATAGCTATATCTTATATATTGTTGAAAAATTACAATTTTTTTCTCTGCACTTATTATTTCTGTTGATAATCAAACTTTGACGATAACACTGAAATCACAATTTTAAAGAAAAATCGAGTATTGAATGAGTTTTAAATGCATAAACACGTCTACAAAACTATAAATAAATCATAAAATTAGTACATTATATTTTTTATTTTTAATCACTTCAATATTATGACCTTCTACAAGAAAGTTTCAGAAGTTAGAAGCAAAAATTAACGACTGTGATTGGTCAATTTTTAGCTTCTGATTTCTGATTTATGACTAATGGCTTATTGTAGAAGGATCATTAACACAAATGCAAACTCTCGTAAAGATGTCGGTCTTTAATAGTATCTCATCGCTGTCGGTGCTGAACTTAAAGTAATTCTTTTTTTCCATTCCGTTATTTAAGTTATGCCGCGCTTGAATTTTTCGACTGCAATGATTGGTCGCGTCATATTCTTTTCTGGCCAATAAAAACTGAAGTACATTATTGACCAGACTCTCTGCTAGGGACTCTAGATCGAGCTAGTTCGGATCTGCAATAGGTGTTTTAATCCTTAAGTCGCAAGAAATTGACCAATTATAGTCGAATATGAGGAGAATAATCGACTATGGCTTACTCAGCAAACGAGGATGGATAAAAATGGATTGAAATTTTTTTCTATTTGAATGCGTATTTTAAATAACAAATACTTTTTTTTGGATTCAATTGGATGCAATTGGATTGAAAAACTGCATTTCCTATTCAATGTGATTATTGAAGGTAGCCATATTCTTAGTTAGAACAGACGCATGCATGCTAAAAATTGGAGACCACATGAAAAGTTGTCTATATGTATGTACTTATACTGTGACTTCGTTGCGATTGGTCGAGCGTATCGCGTTTAAAGTCTCGATAATTTGTATAGTTCATGATTGAACGACAGCTACGGCAGTGATGTCAAATTATTCATAATAGTTCATGATGGTTCATGATGACGTTTCGTGTGCATTCCACATTCGTATGTGAGACAGATTAATAAATTCTTGGCAACAATCCCTTTGATAATCTCATCGTGTCAAGATTCCGTCGAGACAGTCAATGATAACACAGACACAAGCGTGCTCGACGATAATTGCCTTTTATTACATTTCTGTAACGTCTAAAAAATTATCCTGATACTTGATTGGGACACGTCTGATAGGGAGATAGCAGAATCTGTCGCTATCTCGATTTAGCTACGTTAAATGGTGAAAATGACGCCATTTGATGAGGGGAGGATTAGACAAGGCATATCTAAGGTATAAACATTTTCATTGTTACATTAATGATGTTATAATGATGTCATCACATCAATCTCGTAATATAAAAAGAGAATGTTGTTTTTCAGTATCAAAATCCAGATATAACAAAGAAGCATGTAATAAATGTCTTAAATACTTACAAAGGCTTGGTGTATAAAATTGAACCTTTTGGTAAGTAAAATTATTTGTGATAATAATTTTAAATATGCTTCTTGATATTCCTAAGATCATTAAACTTATTTGCCGTTCACAACTAGTTTTCAATGATGGCTCACGTAAAGAACTACTCAACTTGCAAGGAACTATACCAGTTGTTTACAAAGGTAATCTTTTTTGAGAGTAATTTTTAAACATAAATGTTAATCGTATGATAAACTATTAAATATATAACAAGTAAGAATTTAAAGCTTATAACAGTCGAAGTCGGAACTTTAATTCTTAAATAATATAATGTGTATATATATATGCACATGCATATATACTACTTATAGTCATTTGAACTGTGCTCCAAATTGATTTTCCGGACTTATAAACACAAACTACTATAATAATATCACAAATTAAATTAAATCGACAAGCAATTTTTAATAATTTGATGTTCAATCAGGCACTATATTAGAAAGATGTCAATGTGCTGCAAAACTAAATAAATTTAAAGCTATTAAAAATTGTTTCTTGTTCCTTTTCTAGGTTCTTGTTACAATATTCCAATATGCATATGGTTGATGGATACTCATCCTAATAATGCACCTATGTGTTACGTTAAGCCAACAGCAGATATGCATATTAAAGTCAGTATGTTTGTGGATCACAACGGTAAAATTTATTTGCCATATCTTCATGACTGGGTGCCTGTGAGTAGATTCACTATTGATCACTAAAAATGAATAATTCTGATAACGAGATATAAAAAGCTAAGAATCAGAAAAAACTTAATAAATTAACTCCATTATTCGTTTAACATAAGTATAATTAAAGATAGAAATAATAAATCAAACTGTAAAAAGTACAAAAGTTAAAGTGCTAGAATACAATTACATACATGTTTCGACCTTATATTTAGGCCCTCTTTAAATGTACATAAAATTTTTTTACCCGGCGTAATATAATATATTATTCAAAAATTAAGTGACTGTTTTGTTGCATAATTGGATGAGTGTTAAAACAGAGAAAACGGAAAATTGCTCGTCAAGCGATTGATTGCGAAAATTTCTCGTTGTTTGAAAGAGAACATTAAGAAACATAGAAATGTTATAAATTAATCTAAAATTTTTTATTTAGAACATGCATAATACGTCTCTCTTGTAAAAACTCACCTCATAATCCGACAATTGAGAAAAATCATGTTAATATTATAGAAAAATCGTCAAATTTCGATGTCAAAAGCGATAAAAAAAAATTAATATCACGTAATAAGTATGTAACATCCAATGTATAAAATAAAAAGTAACGAAAAGCATCTATCGTTCTCGACGGATTCAACTGTATTGCGATAAATTTTGGCAATACAAAGTCAAACATTGTTTATTATCGGAATATATGAAAAATTCAAACAATTCAATAGAAATGGTATCAAGGTCTCTTATTATATACAAATAAATTAAAGAAATTTATCAAAGTACATAAAGATCCTTTGGACTCTTTCTCGAAATCTAATGTTGTTTATAAAATAAACCGCAATAACTGTGACGCATCTTACGTGGGACAAACTGAGAGAAAGCTGAAAACTCGGATTTCAGAACATCGAAATCATATACGTTGGAACATCAGCTAAATCGGTAATAACAGATCATCGATCGCAATTGGGTCATGATTTTGATTGGAATAATATTCAAATCTTGGATGAAGAATCGATTTACAATAAGCGCCTTTTCTCAGAAATGCTTAACATTAAAAAAGTAACAGCCTTAATCTACAGACGGACACAGAAGGTCTTCATAAATCATACATTCCGATAATAAACAATGTTTTATCTCACTCATCCAATTATGCAACGAAACAGTCGCTTTCTTAATTTTTGAATAATGTATTATTAGGTGTTGGAATTAATTCGTAGCGTTTTTTAATGAAAGAATGTTATTTATTTCACATGAGCATTAAAAAATACATTAATGAAAGTACTTCCCATCACTTGTAAAACGCTACGAATTAATTCCAACACCTAATATATTATACTATGCCGGGTAAAAAAACTTTTACATTTGAAGAGGGCCTAAATATAAGGTCGAAACATATACGTAATTGTATTCTAGTGTTTTAACTTTTGTACTTTCTACAGTTTGATTTATTATTTCTATCTTTAATTATACTTATGTTAAACGAATAATGGAGTTTTATTAAGTTTTTTCTGATTCTTATTAGCCTTTTATATCTCGTTGTCGGATTTTGAACATTAAGAATCTTGTTACTTCAAGTTTTTTATTCTAATGAATAATTCTGTAATATTTATTTATTTATTCTTTTATATTGCAGCATAATTCAGATTTGCTTGCTTTAATTCAAGTTATGATTGTTACCTTTGGGGAACAACCTCCAGTTTATGCTAAGACAAGATCAGAAACGCAACAGAGTTCGACACCGTATCCTGTTCAGTGTAAATACACTTATAGAGTTCCATAATAAGTTTTTAAAAAATTTTTTATTATTGTCTCATTTAAATACCTCGTACAAATTTGTCATGCAGCATTCATGCCTGTACCTGGTAGTGGAAATGTATCAAGTTCTGGCTTTCCTCCGTATCCACCAAGTTCTCAATACTCCAGTGGTAGTAATGTGTATCCGCCATATCCCCCAACAGCATCCGGAGGATTCCCGTATCCAAGCTCTTATGGTTCTTATGCAGGAACCACGCCCAGTTATCCACCACAAAGTTACAGTGGTTCATATCCACCGTATCCACCAGTCACGCAACCGGTATACAATTATTATTTTATTTTTAGCCCAAGGCATTTATAATTAATATTCACATTTTAATTATAATGTACAAATTATTATTAAACAGTTACTGAAAAATATATCAGATTAAATAAATATTTGTAATTATTCGCAAGTCGCCGACGGTACAACCAAATTCCAGTGGATCTGGCACGATCACAGAGGAGCACATAAGAGCATCCTTGCTGTCTGCGGTAGAAGATAAGCTTCGGCGTCGACTCAAGGAACAGTTCTCACAGTTACAGGCCGAGCTCGAGACGCTGCGACGAACGCAGCAAGAGCTAACGAGCGGTTCGTCGCATTTGGCAGATCTTTTTGATAAACTCAAAAAAGAGAAACAGGAACTCGAAAAAAATGTTAATATTTTACAAGATAAGGAGGCAGAATTAGAAAAAGAGATTGCCAAATTGTCTGATAATCAATCGATAGATGTCGATGAAGCTGTTACTACTATAGCGCCTTTGTATAAACAGTAAGCATATAAATAACGATTTTATTGCTAAATAATTTTATGAATTTTCAGTATGAATTGATATTGTAATGAATAAGTTTGATTAACATCATTTAATTTCCAGAATGCTAAATGCTTTTGCCGAAGAAGCAGCCACGGAAGATGCTATTTACTATCTCGCTGAAGGACTGCGATCCGGCATATTAGATTTAGATGCGTTCCTGAAGCAAGTTCGACAACTATCACGTAGACAATTTATGTTGAGAGCATTAATGCAGAGATGTCGACAGAAAGCCGGTTTGGTCGGTTAAACATATTCCTCATGCGCTTCATCCTAAACTGCAATATTTCATTTTGTTCTAAATAAAATATATCATACATACATTGTGCTATACGGTGAAAATGGAACATGTATAATTTATATATCGGTGTCGAAAAGCACAGAGGATTATTTCATCGACAATAAACGTCATATTCTTCTCTGTATGAAGTAGTGAAAAAAAAAAGACTTGTATTTTACAAGAAAAACATTTAATAGAATGTATATGTTAATGAAGATACAGTAATTATAGCACGTTCAAATATGGAAGTAGATGATGTAATTCTTTCGCACAGAACTATATATGTTATTACTATAATATTGCATGATGAGATTAATAACGTTATAGTCTATGTTTATAGAAAACGAATGCGAGTCTTTATTTTCTTGAGGTGTCACAAAACTCGTTGTGTACCTGTATTACAAACTTCATGCCTTCATTGTGATAAAGATTGAATAAACTTATGCACAATATAAAATATTCGGAATTATGTGTTTGTCTCTACAGCAATGATTATTACAAGAAATCTTTCCGAGTTTAATTACACTATTGTGTATCCTCTCTCTCTCTCCCTCTCTCTCTCTCTCTCTCTCTCTCTCTCTCTATTAAAATAACAAATTAAAAAAACTAATCCATATTTCATATTACATATATATATATATATTTTTTTTTTTTAACAAATACATGATATTTGCTCAGTAAAAATATTAACTCCTTATCGATACATAATTTCTAGTTGTCTATACATAAATTCCAACCCAGAGCAGCAGAAATAATACTCCAAAGCTAGAGAATAGCGCTGCGACCAATGAAATTAGTGCTTCCTTGCATATATCTCGCGTGAATTTCGTGCTGGTAACCTCGTATACGAAGAACCAGGCCGTGAAAAATACTCCAATTCCTAATAGAACCACAGCCAGCAGAGGAAAGACAGCTGGATTTACCGGCGAGACGTATCTTGTCATCGACTCGATTTCAACCTAAAATCAACAACAAAAAATTAAATCAGAAACAAAACAGTTGATTCGCACGCAAATATTTAATTTATACCTATACTTGGTTTAAATTTATATCTTTTCTGTGTTCTTTTACTCGTATTTCTTGAGGCGAATACGATTAAGGTTAGACGTGATTTGGATCTATACTAACTTTACGAGAGGAAAGAATTAAGGAAAGAATTTTCGATTGTTCACGTAAGGAATAACAATTGCTACTTGCCATTTTTTGAAATTGATGCGTGTCTACGTAGTTCGAAAGAAAATACTCCGGTCAAAGTGTCAAACACTTTGTGAGTCGCAACGAATCGTCAAACAGGCTGACATCGTGGCATCAGCTGGCATTAGCGCGATTAAGCATAGCGCGTAAAATTATCGAGATAGTTAGCGGAATGAAAGTATTTGCTTCTACCGTGACGTCATCTTGCATCAATCATATTTAATTATATTTCCGCAAATATTTCTTTTTTTTTTTATTGTCTCAGTCGATAAAACGGCCATTCAACCGTTACAATTACACTTTGCGCTGCATTTTTTTTCATTTCAATATAAAAATACGAAATACGCGGATATCTTCTTCATCCTGAAAACAGAAAATGTGAAAAAAAAAAGTACAATTTAAACCATTCAGATAGCTCATTTTGCGTTATACAATATTTCTCTCTCCGGTGTTCCATTTTAAATAACGAAAGTGCAGCAGAGTGCAGTTTAACGGTTTCGGACTTTTGGAGAAGAAAGGCCGAGCTGGGTGAAAGAAGGAAAGAGTCTCCGCGCTTCTCCGTTCTCGACCTTCTCCGTACGTCGTGTTCCACGCTTGAGCGCCTGTTCGCGCTGGAGAGCGTCCGGTGGTGGATATCACGTTCAACTGCACGTCCAACCGTACTTGATCGCACTTGATTCTCTCGTTGGTTCTGGTATCATTGTACATCGTACTATCGTCGTGCATCGTCCCGCGTTCGCGTCATTTACGTTGTAACTGTCTACGTCGTAACTGTCAGGAACGACCGGGGTAGCTGCAAGAGCCGCTGGAACAGTGGCGTAATCGCGTACCGAGTGGTCGCGAGGAAATAGTGTGCGTGACGAGCGGTTTTTAGAGCAGACGGTGCTAAAGAGTGCTAAAGAGAATCGACAGGAGGATACATATACGCGTGCATGCGATGTTAGTCGTTCGTCGACTGAACGAATTTGCGCGACGTGTTGCACCATTTTCCTTTCCCCGTGCGTGCGTCCCCACGCCACGCCGATGTGAGTCGGACGATCGTCCTGGGCTACGATAAATCACGACACATTTAGATATTAAGCTGCAGAGGTAGCGCACGCACGGTCAGCATCATGTTCTGGACGAATAATTACGTGTCATCGCCGCATATCGAGGCATTGCTCAACAAAGAGGTAAGTGACTTCAGACTATCCTCGTTATACTTCCCCCACGAGGGAGCCTTTCCTTTTCTCCCTCCCGCCGGAACCTTGTTGTTAGATAGTACCTAATCGGTTACTCGATTACAGGATGTCACACTTCACGAATTGATGGATGAGGAGGACATCCTTCAGGAATGCAAGAGCCAAAACAAAAAGCTGGTCGAATAGTAAGTGGAAATATTCTTCAGATCTGATTTTGTATCGAGCTTTTATTCTATATGGTATCTTTGAAAAAAAAAAAAATACAAATTTTTTCAATATGTAATTTATAGTCTTACAAGGCCTGCCGTTATGGAAGAATTAGTTACGTTAACTACTAAGGAACCATCCACGGACATCGAAGAACGTTGGCGCTACAAGTATCCTAATGTTGCCTGCGAGTTGCTCACATGCGATGTGCCTACATTGAATGAGAAACTGGCAGGTATACTCGGAGCTCTGTTATGATATCTATTGATTGGAGAAGAATATTTGTTAAGTTATATGAATTTTATAAGTGTGTTTCTTGAATCTTTTTTAGGTGACGAGGCACTTTTGGCCAAATTATATTCTTTCATAGATACAGATCAACCATTAAATCCACTACTTGCATCATTTTTCAGTAAAACTATCGGAGTTCTTGTTGCTCGTAAAAGTGACCAGGTAATTATTTTTTAAACATTTCTTATTTTTGTACATAGAAAACTCTTATGTAGTATATATTTTAAGATCAGTCAGTTGTACTTAATATAATAACTTTGAGATTAACATTTTATTCGATAACAAGTAATATTAGTTAAATAACAAACTTTTTCTTACCTTTCCTATATTATCCACATGCTTATCCATCCTATACATTTCCATCTATTCCAGAATTGGTATTCCTATCAGTTCACATGCTTACAGGTTTTAGAATTCCTTAAAAGTCGTCAGAGATGTGTAGATTTGTTGTTGCAACATTTAGAGACTTCGGCTATCATGGACTTAGTACTCAAACTTGTTACTCAGGTTGAGGGCAGTGATATGCGTCAAAACATATTAAATGTAAGACGATTTTTTAAATTTTGATTTATGTGACTATCATTATATAATTAAATTCTATTACTATATTGCATAATTAAATTTTTTTCAACATATATGTGTGTGCGTCTTTTTGATAGTGGCTAGATAGTCAACATTTAGTGCAAAGACTGGTAAAATTGTTAGCACCTACTTCAGAAGTAGCCAAACACGCTAACGCGGCACAATTACTTTGCGATATGGTGACAGTAGCTAGAGAAACTCAACGTACATCTACAGAACGTGCTGATCCAGATCCTATTTTAAATACTTTAGAATCGTAAGTCTATTCCTGCAAATTTATGATAATTTTTTTGTTTACACGAATATTTACAAATAACATGTATTTTGTTACACAGAGGAGAAACTGTGAGCCTATTGTTAGAAACTATCCTAACAGCAGAAAAAGTAGAAAGTAGTATTGTCGGTGGAATACAAGTACTTTTGGTACTTTTAGGTCAAAGGGCCAGCAAGTACGACGTTTTTATATATATTTTGCAATATTACAAAATTATAATTTATAAATAAAGCATAATATACAATAGCTTGAATTTTTTGTAGCACATCAAATGAAGGAGATGTACATGGTAATAGCGAAGATACTACGGATAATGAGCAGTGTATTAAAATTTCGAATGCTACCTTACCATATTTGGAACATCTTCACAAACTTCTTCTAGAGCCGCCATATGTAAGAGTGACTTGCAAACATTTTTAAAAAATTGTGTGTGTGTGTGTGTGTGTGTGTGCGCGCGCGCGCGCGTGCGCGTGCGTGTGCGTGTGTGTGCATAACAATATTTTACTCTTTATTATATATTTTACAAACGATAAAATTTTTATTGCTCAGAAACCTGCCGTCAAAACAACTGTTGGACTACTAGAATGTCCATTAGGCAATACTCGTTTGCATGTAGCAAAGTTGTTAAGTGCTTTACTGGCGACGGAGAATTTAAAGATCCATGAAAGTTTAGAAACTTTGGGAACATTCCAAACATTGTTGGTAAGATCATATTATATGAGTGTATCATTAAGAATTTTTATTATATTGTCTACTTTTGTTTATTCTTAACCCAAAAATGTATTATAGGATTTGTTTTTCAAATATACCTGGAATAATTTCTTACATACGCAAGTACAACAGTGCCTGGCCTTAGCTATTAATTGCGGACAACGGGATAATGATATTATTTATAATAATGTGAGTTATATCTTTTATAATATGGAAATAAGTTATGACACAAAAGAACATATTAAATAATTTGAATGTCTTAATTTACAGATATTTATCAAGTGCAAATTAATAGAGAGAATCTTAGAAGCATGGGATAAAAACGAGAGTAAACAGTAAGATTACCAAAAGTATTAAATTTAGCGGAATATTTCGCATATATTGCAATAGAGAATTCAGAGTTATAACTTCGAGATTTGATTGCAGAAACAAAGAAAATGGTGTTCGTCAAGGTTACATGGGACATTTAATAAATATTGCGAACAATATCGTCACTCAATGCGAAAAAAATAATATACTGACCAGCTTCTTAAAGAACAATGTATCACCCGAGTGTCTTACTAGATGGGAAAATCTTGTGAGTGTACAGTTGGTGGAAATTAATAAAATTCATCAAACTGTAATGATGGTATGTAGTAATGTGACATATATTTCTTATTTTTTTTCTTTTTCTTGTAAGTATATCGCTTCTATGGATTTAGAAATAACACGTAATATCACTCATTCATTTATAATAATTTATAACAAAAAATTTTAATTTTTCTTTCATTGTATGTCGTAATTTAATATGACTGCAATGAGAAAGCAACAGTTTTTAATTATATAATGGAATTTTTAGGGTGATCAAACTCCCGATGTGTACCTGATGAGCTCCGAGGAAAATCCAAATGAATACAACTCTTACTCGCAAGAGACATATATTCAACAGGTTAGCGGTTACATTCATATATTATTGATACATAAATCGAGATTATCTAGTTCTTTATTTATCGTGCGGATTCTTGGTATTAGATGTACTCCAATTATCAGGGTCAGCAAATAACACCTCCGTTCATCGAGAATTTTGGATTCCACGATGATGAGTTTAATGATGGTGATGACGCACTTCAGTAAGTATAGACGCGAGATTTCATTAAAAAATATAGCACTACTAGGTCCGCGATCATAGAACTTACAAGAGTCAAGAAAGAACACGCGTGAGAAGAACGCAACCTTAATATTGTCATAGTCATTTCTCTCCCCACTGTTTTCGTTAAGAGGTATGATATTATAGTAATCCAGTTGACCAATTAACAACGTTGGCCTTTAATCTCAGTGAAGAAGATCTCGACAAGCGGGAAGATATGTTCAATAAGGTAGATATCTCAATATTTAACTGTTATCGAATACGTATTGTATTATATTTGAAATTGAAAAAATTGATAACTTTTGTTAAAGCTGTGCCAACAAAAACAAAAAGCCGGGCTTGAAGATTGCGGCAGTGGCTTAGAATGGGGAGATGAGGGCGAGTTGACGTTCCAGACTGTGGTGGACAAACGGGATTGGCATTCAAAGCAACAACATCAGGATTCTAGTTCATCGGATGATTCTAATTCGTCGGAGGATTCTAGTTCGTCAGAGGAGGAACCACGCACGAACATGAATATGGAGGTCGAAACGACAGATCGTATGTTTCTATAAAAAATTCTTATATTACTTGATTAAAAAAAAAAGCTCGAAATTTTATCGAAATCGCTTATGTAATCTTAGCTTGGAACAATACCGAACCTCCGAACACTATACTTCCACCAGTCAATCCATGGGATGTGGCATCGTCGGAACCAATAGAATCTACAGGTTGGGCCAATTTCGAAAATTTCGAAAATACTTTGAGTATAGAGAACACCGTGAGCGAAGAGAAAAAGCCGTGCGATGAACTTAAAGAGAAAATATCAGAAGTTACAGCTGTAAACCTAACGGAAAAGAATGTAACTTGTAGCAAAAGTGTTGGTGATGGTAACGAAAAGAGCACAGACTATGTAGATAGTCAAGTAGTCGAAATGAAGTTGCCAGCTGAGGAAATTAATCTCAATGATAGTAAAAGTGATGAGCACAAGATGATTTCCGCGAATGAGAACGTCAATAGCGAGTTATCGGTCAGTAGGTATGTATGTAGCATAATAATAGTTAGCGTACATAATCTATCCAATCTAAAATGAATTATTTGAAAAATTTGTTTTTCAGAGATTTTAAGGACACGGAGAACATCGAAACAGTAAAGGATACGAAGAACGTAGAGAATGAAAAGTCGTCAATTGAACAAGTTCCAGCCGCTTCGTTGGAAAGTACATCCACTAGCACTGTTGACGCCATACCGGTGCCTAAAGACGCTAAATGAAACGTTCCCCTCTGCCTATGTTAAATGATCTATGGCAATAGAAGGGGGGAGGGGGGAAGGAGAGAGAGAGAATCATATCAGTATCGAGTCGTAACGATTGATCGGATGCATATTGCGCCTTCTCTATTTTTCATTAGACACCACGTTAATTATGCTTTAAGAAAACGTTGATGGGTACATTATGGTCCCGCTGCAGGGTATCTCTTAAAATAAATCCGGGCCGAAAAATGATTGACGCTCAACTACACTTAGCGAATAATTTGATGTTTATTATATATAGGTATATCCCATCCCCTTTTTACCTCACCTTTTGAATGGCCAACATCTATAAGTATCCCTGCGAAAATCAAGTCCTCCCTCTGTCCCGTATATTTTACAATTATTGTTAAGAGTTTCGTAAATTGTTATTTATACGTAACTGATAACTGATTTCTAACAAAGGGAGCGAAGAATGGAGAGAATAAATCGCAACATTTTTGTGCGATACATATAGACAATTTGTAAAGAGAGATGATGGATAAATTTCACATCCGCTTGCTCCACTCGTGACATTTAATTTTTTTACACATAGACGAACACACACATACACAGAACATTTACTATATGTTTATATATTAAAAAAGCGGATGAGAAACATAAGAGAAAAGAGTTATCGTAACGCTGTTTGATATTATATAAGACCGGTATTTCACAAACTGGTGCTTTTGCTTATTCCTTCGATAAGGCAAAGGTACTTAGGTGCAGTGCCTACTGTTTAACTGAGTGTACGTTAGTTCAACGATACGATACGAGCAGAAAAAAGGGAGGAGAGAGAAAATCGAGAGTATTTTTATTACCTTTTGTCGTAATAATCAGTCGAAATTTGTACATGATATCATATTAATCGAGAGCTCTTGACGAACTTGCGCACTTATTTGCATTCCGAAATAACAAAAAAAACAAGGAAAGATTTATACGTATGTTTAAGCGACGTTAAAAGTCTTTCATCAAGATCTTCCAGAAGTGAATAGTTAAATTGCGGGAACTAATGTCAAAGCGTCGCGCATGCTTCGATTGAGCTACCTTATGTATATCCATCATTCTTCGAGAGATCATTCTATGAATTATGTTACCTGATTGTTCCACGACTTTCTTCTGCCTCGCAGACTTTGCAGCAGCAATGTGTTTATAGCGTTGTACACGAGATATTGTTCATAATTAAATGAAAAAAAGCTAATAAAACATTGTTCTAAATCCTAAGAAAACACACGTGTCACAGCATTACTAGTTTAATATCGAAATTTATAAATTGCATACAGCGCACTCTGCATTTTCTTTATGTTCTATATTTTATACGACATATAATTAATAATTTACTATACACGTCTATTGCGAGAATGTCGCGTATGCGCAGTCTTTATGTTTCACATTTTACTTTTTGCTTCCGATCCATAAACGCCTTTAGATGTATGATAGAATACACCCCGTATTCTGCCGTACTCGCTTTGATAAAAAAAAAAATTCGTTGAGATTAGGAGAATTGATCTTCCTGCGGTGAATTATACCATGATATGTCGATTTTTTCTTGTCTGCAAAACAAAAAAAGACGACGTTGAAATTATTGTTCGAAAGTAAGCGTGGCTTTCATTTTTAATGGGAACGTACAGATTTCCCAAGGGTTCTTAAAATGATCCTATGTCCTAAGGACATTCCCGGGACTATTTCTTTTTTACTTTTTAAAATCAAAATTTGATTTATTTTTCAATATAGCCTTCTTTTAAAAAGTCACTAATTTATTAAACTGCCAACGTACGTTTCAAAACTTTACTCTGAGTAAAAGAATTAATTCATAATAATCATCGGTTCTTATTTCAAAACCATCTTAAATAGTGTCTTAAACAAGAAGAAGAAAAAGATAGCATCTTAAGAGGTCTATACGTTTCTCGAACTTGAAAAATAGTCAAAATGTGGCGAGAGATTGTAAGAAAATTATTAGGCCGATTGATTTAATTTTTTTTTTAATTTAAAGATGCACTTTTAATGAACATAAAACATATGCACAAATTTACAAAAATATGGCGGCTACGTCCAATGGCATACGTTTTTTAGTACATTTTTTTTTTATTAAACGGTGGGCATAATGAATTCATAATATTTATGTGAAACAAAAATTTTTGATTTTTTTATCACCTTTTAGAATTGTAATTCTCGTATGACAAGAAAAATTAAAAAAAAGATTACGGAAATGGTTACAATTTGAAGAAAAGAGTCGTTATTTTCACAAAAAAATTAATAAATATTAATAAGATTCTATACGTATAAAACAATGTAGTACAAAAGAAGGGCAAAGAGCCAGTAATGTATAAAAGAACTTTAATTTCAATTAGCATTAAAAATTCATATAAACAATTACAATTAACAACAAACGTTTCGACTCCAATCAAGTCATGTTCAATGTAGTCTTAATATATCAACGTTGTTCTAATTGTAATTGTAATTGTTTATATGAATTTTTAATGCTAATTGAAATTAAAATTCTTTTATACATTACTGGCTCTTTGCCCTTCTTTTGTACTACATTGTTTCACAAAAAAATATCTATTTTTTTATTGTTATTCGAAAATGATTAACTTTATTTAAAAAAGCCTTCGTGACATGATCGAGCGAATCTAATTTAAAATACGTATATCAAAAATGAAGTTAATCGGACGAACGATGAGACAATTATTATGTCGACCGTTCTGAAAAAATGATATTTCGAGAAAAACGCGTTTAATGTTTTGCAAGAGTGCGATAAAATGAAAAATTTTTTTTTTATCTGGTCTTAAAACGTTTCTAAGATATATACTTTTTAAAATAAGTAAAAAAAAAAATCGATTTTTTGAAGCTGAAAAACATATATGACTCCTTAAGGCAGATCTTAAAATAAGAACCGCTGTAAATACTAGTTCATGAGTCAACTATTTTTTTTCAAGAGTTTTGGCATGCAACCCTGGACGTCCTTCGGATAAATGAAAAGTGAAATGCGGGGAGGCAAAAAATAAAATAAAATGTTTTACCCTTCGGTGCTTTCGCTGATCGTTGTATTATCGTCGTCCGCGAGAATTCCAATCTCGTAAACTACAGCTTTTATCACGTATCTGAAGACGGAAAAAAAACGTTTACAGCAAAATTATCATATATATATATATATATATATATACGCGTATTATATGTTAAAGAATATTAAAAGAGATTTACACGTCGGTGTTGGTCGAGATGTCCGTCGAAATTTCTGTCGAATTCTCATGATTATTTATTAAATCCGGGAGAGGACTGGCACCCACTCGTTGCAACGTCATCGACGTTAAAATTAACGTAAATAATAAGAGCGCGATGTAAGCTGGCCAGAAAGGCTGATGTGAAGTGATGCGCGACATTTTAAAGTTATACAAAGCTGCGAACGAATTCCACCGCGACTTTTATAGTGATGGACATTTGTCTCTCATTAACACCACCGTGACTTATACGTAGATACTTTTGCATTACGCATTCTCGATTGGTTCATAAGTGGCACGTGGAAAATTTCCTGATTGCGTATTGAGCGATGCAGCTGTTGAATTTCGACGAATATAAATTTTATTAGGTGTTGGAATTAATTCGTAGCGTTTTTAATGAAAGAATGTTATTTATTTCACATGAGCATTAAAAAATACATTAATGAAAGTACTTCCCATCACTTGTAAAACGCTACGAATTAATTCCAACACCTAATATCTGCATAAAAAATGGCTGATATGAAAATTTCAATCTAATTTTTCGCAAAAAAAATTATACTATATATTTAATTAACTTCTAGGAACGGAAAATAGAAAGTCACGCGTGCAAATTATATGCAATTGTGCGCCACACAATTTTCCTACGACAAGTTTGTTAATGAAAATGTCACACTGATAACTCGTTCAAGGTTTTCGAGGAAATCCCAAATGTATTTACGTAAAATGTATATTTTTCACGGTGACGTTATAGAGCAAAATATTTTTCTTAACGCGCAATAGATTGTATTATTATTATTATATATTAATATAATAATATATTATACATAAATTGATTAATATTATTA